GCACTTTACGGCTTCCTTAGACTATTGCCTGTGTTCTCCCTCTCAGCCGTGTTTTATTTCGTTTAATTTCACCGTAACTTGATTTCAACCATGGTAAACCGTTGCTGTATTGTGGGCTGTAACAGCGCATCACATGATCGCCGAGGGAAAAACCTACAAAATGGGATAACTTTCCACCGCTGTCCTGCCTGGAGGCGCAAACACGGAGACCAAGTTTCACAGATAACAAAGAGTCGTCGGCTAGCTTGGATCGCGGCTGTAAGACGACAGAACAGAACTTTCCACAGTATCCTGATGTCAATGCGAGTGTGTTCCCTGCATTTTCATTCTGGTAAGTTAAAGATGCACGGTTTTATTTTATAGCCTACAGTGTTTCCTTCCTTCATCCGTGGCACCACATACAAGCATGAACGCGCGCCCAGAGACTGTTGATATAGCATTTTCATCCTCGTTGGTTGATATAGCATTTTATCTTCTTTGGTAGAACACACTGCCAGTTCCTACTAGGACAGGGACATCCCTCTCCATTTTCAAAAAAAACCCTGAGGTTGACAGCTGTCATAGCACCACTTATAAATTTTGCTGATCCTAGCGCTTACCAGCCGTCTTGTAATGTAATGTAATCATATAATACAATTTAATAATGTGTATATTGAGGATCATTGATAACATTATGGTTCTATATGTGTTCAACACTGCTGCTGTGGATAATAATTTTAAATTGTGTCACCAGGAAAACCAGCAAATGAAATGTACACCTCGCATCCGGATTGGGCACCATCACTACACTTGGGCCACACTGAGATAAAGGCCACACAGACTGCACGCTATGAGAGACAGGAAAAGAGAAAACGGCAAAGGACTGACAGTACACCTGCGAGGATGAGACAGCTATTGATGACCTTGTTCCACCCGGTAAGCCTTACAGAGCCAGAAGATTCAACACCGTATGTTGCTTTTGTGGCTTTATCAGCTGCATGATGCACATTTAGCTAAAAGATGTCCTTATTTTATCCATAGTGGAGACACCAGCACCAGCTGAGGATGGAGCTGAGCAGACACCGCCGGCGTGCTGAAATCAACCGGCTGCTGGAGGAGAACAGGACCCTGAAACGTGAGCTTGGCCAGAGAAAAATGGATGAAGATTTCCTGAAGGAAGACACCGTCAAAGTGAAATACTACACTGGACTTCCACACCTTAAAGTCAACCACTTTATTCTGGTGTTTATGAATTACTGTATTAAAGAAAAGATTGATGCTCAATATGGAATTGACAATTTCTTTGTATCAACAATACACTCTAAGCAAACATTTAACAAGTGGGTTGTTTTTTAGCCATAGGTGTGTTTTGCATCCATACCCAAAAGCAAGAGGTCTCAAACGATCAGATCCTTTTCAGTGTTTATTTGCAAGTAGTGAAACTTGAGAACACAGTGCAGCGCAGAACAGAGCAGTGCAGTTTGAATGCTTGTAGGTAAATGGTTACAAATAAAAAATGGACGCGATGAAAATGCAGTGCAATTACTTACAATAACATAGTATGTATTTATACAAAATGTTCAATCCTATTAATAAGTCGGTCTTAATGAAACATCAATGGAGAAATGGAAAGTGGAGATATTGCAAATTATTATTATACAAATTGTAGTTATAGTAAACATTAACAGTTAAACACTGTTAGTGCAAATTCTTATATAAGTATTTATAATAATATGCATTACTTAAATTGTATAAATAAAGGCTGCGATGCAATATGTCATGATATACAATAATATAATCTATAATTGTATAATATAACAACGTGCAATAATATGCAAATATAACAATACAATGTAATAATACAAAATACTATGCTTTTTATAAAAAATGTCTATGTATAAAAAAAATTCCAAAGTAATAAAAAATACGTATTTATGAAACATCAATTACAAACATAAAAATTGGAGGTAGATCAAATTAAGTAATAACAGATATCAATAACATTTGAAGTAGTGCAAATTATTACCGGTACTATAGTACACATTAAAAAACAATGTTAGTGCAATGTCTTATATAATTACTTTTAACAATATGCATTTCTTAAATTGTATAAATAAAGGCTGCGATGCAATATGTCATGATATACAATAATATAATCTATAATTGTATTGTAATATAACGACGTGCAATAATATGCAGCTGCAATGTCTTTCACTGTCTCACAGTGCTGGAGAAGGACAGCTGGTGGAGCATTTTCAAACTTTGGGTCGCGCAGACGGTCTTGCAGGGGTTTTGGGATCACAGCTGGCTGGACAGGAGCAGCATAGTTGTGAAAGTAGGGCTTCACTGTGGACATACAAACTGACCTATGGTTCTGAAGAACAGGGAACATTGACGATAAGTCGTCCAATGTGGCTTGGGCAGTGCGTCTGCTGGCCCGTGTCCGTAGGCCAGGCATGGGAATGTTGTCATCGATGACTCTGTCCAGAGCAATCCTCTGCACTTTGGATGAAGTGAAGTCCATCTTGTGGGCGACTTCACCGCTGACTTTGTTGATACCTGCTGGTATTTTCCAATAAGCTGGCACATCTGTCACAGTCTTTTTCCCACGGATGCGGACTGCTGCCTCAATCTTAAACAGCAGAGCCCCAACATGTGTACATGCCTCTGCAATTCCAGCCATGCATGTACAGTGTGCACAGCAAACCTGCCCATCGTCAGCAATGATGACCCATGGCTTCAGGGGAGTCTCATTAATGCGCTGAGAGTGCAAGACCTGAGGAGAAAAAAAATAGACATAAATTATGCAGGTAAGGACACCATTATATTTCATTCTATGCTGGAAAGCAAACGTTAACCTCAACCCCTCATGCATGTGTATACATATCATATAAATCACAGTTATACAACAGTAAAGTATAACAACCACGCTGTTATATTGTTATATCACTTAAAAGAAAAAGAAATGAAATGAGCACAGGACATTTAAACCTGCATAATACCTCTGACTGAATGATTTAAGCTCAAAGTTACCCGTTACAGTGTTTTATGAGGTCAGATTTAATAACCCGCAGTCAATACTGCACTCATTTTTCTAAATAGTTCACTTTGAAAGACTCTGATTCAAACTAGGAGTTAACTTGAATGGCCACAGCACTGCACTATTGTTTATTTTTTTATATTTTGCGGATCTTTGACTATTTAATCTATTCCTTAAAATTTTATTAATAACAATGTTCAATAAATGATTTTCAACAAAATACAGATGTAACACCTATCCAGTTTCTGAATGATGGTAAAAAAATCTTGTTTCTACCAGCAGCTGGGGGAGACTAGATTAGAAGATGGTTCAGAAAACCTGTTAGGACACATTTTTTTTCTAACACTAAGTATCAAACAAATGCTGATTTCTATTTCAGCAAATTATTCTTAAATTTTTTTTTAATATTTTGAATAATGTTTTGATGAAGATTTGAGATTCCTTTCACTGAATGAATGGTCACAAAGCTAGTGTTAAGCTTGAAGTCTCTGGCCAAGCTCACGTTTCAGGGTCCTGTTCTCCTCCAGCAGCCGGTTGATTTCAGCACGCCGGCGCTGACAGAAGTCACATTCTGTCAGCGGTGTCTGCTCAGCTCCATCCTCAGCTGGTGCTGGTGTCTCCACTATGGATAAAATAAGGACATCTTTTAGCTAAATGTGCATCATGCAGCTGATAAAGCCACAAAAGCAACATACGGTGTTGAATCTTCTGGCTCTGTAAGGCTTACCGGGTGGAACAAGGTCATCAATAGCTGTCTCATCCTCGCAGGTGTACTGTCAGTCCTTTGCCGTTTTCTCTTTTCCTGTCTCTCATAGCGTGCAGTCTGTGTGGCCTTTATCTCAGTGTGGCCCAAGTGTAGTGATGGTGCCCAATCCGGATGCGAGGTGTACATTTCATTTGCTGGTTTTCCTGGTGACACAATTTAAAATTATTATCCACAGCAGCAGTGTTGAACACATATAGAACCATAATGTTATCAATGATCCTCAATATACACATTATTAAATTGTATTATATGATTACATTACATTACAAGACGGCTGGTAAGCGCTAGGATCAGCAAAATTTATAAGTGGTGCTATGACAGCTGTCAACCTCAGGGTTTTTTTTGAAAATGGAGAGGGATGTCCCTGTCCTTGTAGGAACTGGCAGTGTGTTCTACCAAAGAGGATAAAATGCTATATCAACCAACGAGGATGAAAATGCTATATCAACAGTCTCTGGGCGCGCGTTCATGCTTGTATGTGGTGCCACGGATGAAGGAAGGAAACACTGTAGGCTATAAAATAAAACCGTGCATCTTTAACTTACCAGAATGAAAATGCAGGGAACACACTCGCATTGACATCAGGATACTGTGGAAAGTTCTGTTCTGTCGTCTTACAGCCGCGATCCAAGCTAGCCGACGACTCTTTGTTATCTGTGAAACTTGGTCTCCGTGTTTGCGCCTCCAGGCAGGACAGCGGTGGAAAGTTATCCCATTTTGTAGGTTTTTCCCTCGGCGATCATGTGATGCGCTGTTACAGCCCACAATACAGCAACGGTTTACCATGGTTGAAATCAAGTTACGGTGAAATTAAACGAAATAAAACACGGCTGAGAGGGAGAACACAGGCAATAGTCTAAGGAAGCCGTAAAGTGCGCCGTCAACATGGTCACGACGACCAAGCCCTATTGCGAGGTAACGCAAAAGGTTTTGCGAGGGAACGCAAAAGTTTTTGCGAGGGAACGCAAAAGTATTGCGAGGTAATGCAAAAGTATTGCGAGGGAACGCAAAAGTATTGCGAGGGAACGCAAAAGTATTGCGAGGGAACGCAAAAGAAAAAAAATTCCCCATGTCCCCTAGGGGGCTCCGTAGTAATACACCACAAGGCATGGAAGTAATAAAAACATCCAAATCTGATAGGGTGAGCTGTCGCTATAGCTCTGTCCAGTAGGGGGCAGCAGACGCACCAATAAATGCTCGTTTATTTCCAGTTAAATGGCGCCATCTAGTGGTCGTTGGGGCCGTATGTTTCGTAACACTTAACACCAAGTCTTTTGTAACTATAAACAGAAGATTGTGAGCGTCTTACATGAGCAGTGAGGTGTAGCTCTGGCTGTAGCAACAGATAACAAAATGTAAGTTACACTTGTCACATTTACAAGTCCCTCAACGCTCTTTTAGATGTGTGTTTTATTAGTATTATATGTTTATTTCCCACCGCAGTGAGAAGTTACAGTCAGTCTTTACTGCAGAATGTCGTCTGTTCCTAAAGTGAAGCTCTCCGGAGGTCTGGAAATCTGCCGGGTCCTGAACGGGATGTGGCAGGTGTCTGGAGCTCATGGGGCTGTGAACAAAACCAAAGCAGGTAAACTCATTATTTACTCATATGCAGCTGTGACTGTTCTGTATAAAAATTTGCTGCGCACATAGCACAGGTCTTATGGTACAGGCGCGTATGGGTGCCGCAGAGGGCCATGTTCAGTAACCGACTGCCAGAATGACATAACAGGCAGTTTAGATCCATCTAACAACTGACATTTAAAAGTATTTAAGACTATTAAATAGGCAATATGTATCCTTTAGAAGGGAGCTCAGATATAATGTCAACTATTATTATAATTTTTGAATGTTTATAGTTATATTTTTGTTTTCTGAGTTTAAAAATCTGCAACAGAACAATAAAAAACTAGTCCTGAATAAAGTCTTACATTTCAAAAATCCCATAATACTTTTGCTGAATTACATATTTACATAGAGGAGTAAATATGTACTTAAATACGAACTCCCATGGGGCCATGTAGGTTTGAACATTTTGTCCTCCCTTAATAAAAGCATTCATTTTAACAACAAAGTACAGGTGCTGGTCATAAAATTAGAATATCATGAAAAAGTAGATTGATTTCAGTAATTCCATTTAAAAAGTGAAACTTGTATATTATATTCATACATTACATACAAACTCATATATTTCAGATGTTTATTTTGTTTAATTTTGATGATTACAAATGACAACAAATGAAAATCTCAAATTCATCATATCAGAAAATTAGAATATTGTGAAAAGGTTCAAAATTGATGGCCCCTGGTGCCACACTCTAATCAGCTAATTAACTCAAACCACCTGCAAAAGCCTTTAAATGGTCTTTCAGTCTAGTTCTATAGGCTACACAATCATGGGGAAGACTGCTGACTTGACAGTTGTCCAAAAGACGACCATCGACACCTTGCACAAGGAGGGCAAGACACAAAAGGTCATCGCTAAAGAGGCTGGCTGTTCACAGAGCTCAGTGTCCAAGCACATTAATAGAGAGGCGAAGGGAAGGAAAAGATGTGGTCGAAAAAAGTGTACAAGCAAGAGAGATAACCGCACCCTGGAGAGGATTGTGAAACAAAACCCATTCAAAAATGTGGGGGAGATTCACAAAGAGTGGACTGCAGCTGGAGTGAGTGCTTCAAGAACCACCACACACAGACGTATGAAAGACATGGGTTTCTGCTGTCGCATTCCTTGTGTCAAGCCACTCTTGAACCACAGACAGCGTCAGAAGCGTCTAAAGAGAAACAGGACTGGACTGCTGGTGAGTGGTCCAAAGTCATGTTCTCTGATGAAAGTAAATTTTGCATTTCCTTTGGAAATCAAGGTCCCAGAGTCTGGAGGAAAAGAAGAGAGGCACTTCATCCACGTTGCTTGAAGTCCAGTGTAAAGTTTCCACAGTCAGTGATGGTTTGGGGTGCCATGTCATCTGCTGGTGTTGGTCCATTGTGTTTTCCGAGGTCCAGGGTCAACGCAGCCACATACCAGGAAGTTTTAGAGCACTTCATGCTTCCTGCAGCTGACCAACTTTTTGGAGATGCAGATTTCATTTTCCAACAGGACTTGGCACCTGCACACAGTGCCAAAGCTACCAGTACCTGGTTGAAGGACCATGGTATCCCTGTTCTTAATTGGCCAGCAAACTCTCCTGACCTTAACCCCATAGAGAATCTATGGGGTATTGTGAAGAAGAAGATGCAATACACCAGACCCAACAATTCAGAAGAGCTAAAAGCCACTATTAGAGCAACCTGGGCTATCATAACACCTGAGCAGTGCCACAGACTGATCGACTCCATGCCACGCCGCATTGCTGCAGTAATACAGGCCAAAGGAGGCCCAACTAAATACTGAGTGCTGTACATGCTCATACTTTTCATGTTCATACTTTTCAGTTGGCCAACATTTCTATAAATCCTTTGTTTTTATTGGTCTTCAGTAATATTCAAATTTTCTGATATGATGAATTTGAGATTTTCATTTGTTGTCATTTGTAATCATCAAAATTAAACAAAATAAACATCTGAAATATATGAGTTTGTATGTAATGTATGAATATAATATACAAGTTTCACTTTTTAAGTGGAATTACTGAAATCAATCTACTTTTTCATGATATTCTAATTTTCTGATATGATGAATTTGAGATTTTCATTTGTTGTCATTTGTAATCATCAAAATTAAACAAAATAAACATCTGAAATATATGAGTTTGTATGTAATGTATGAATATAATATACAAGTTTCACTTTTTAAATGGAATTACTGAAATCAATCTACTTTTTCATGATATTCTAATTTTATGACCAGCACCTGTATTGTGTTTACTAGTGTTATCTCCGACTAATACTGTTTGATGTTCTCTAACAATTGATTTTCACGTGTATGCAAAAAAGGAAAGCAATCAGGAGGGGGGGTAACACAGTTTCATGCCACTGTATAGTTATTAGGGGTGTGCAAAATAATCGTCATGATGATGCATCGTGATTCTAATTTTCGTGATCTACTGCATCGATTCTTGACGCCAAGTATCGATTATTAATTTAAAAAAACGAATAAATAAAATTGCATGAATGGTTGGCGAACATCAGCCAAAAACAAGTGTATTACAAATTCCAGTCCAGTAGATGTCGCTGCGGATGTGTTGACGCACGCTGCCTTGTGTCACAAGCATTTCCGGCCGCGGGATACTGCGCCGAGTCATTCAAAAACAAAACATGGAGGAGAAAATATTGCAATGCATCGCAATAATTCAAGTATCGTGATGCATCATGATAGAATCGCATCGTGGCCTATGAATCGTGATTCGAATCGAATCGTGACTTCTTTGGCAATACCCACCCCTAATAGTTATAGAGTTGCTAATACTAGAAAACTGTGTTTTTCAGATACAAAAATATTTATATTTTACTTTTTATTTGTAGATTAACTGAATTGATTGCCAGCAATAACTTATACAGGACGTGTTTAACATGAATCTTAAGAAAATACAGGTAGACTTTTGTGACACTTAAGAAGAAATTGTTTTCACTGCCTCAGTATTGGGACCTATTTGGACCTGGAAAATCTCAACAAACCTTTAGAAAAGTTGTAAAAAGTTTGTGTTTAAAACACATTATGCCACCCAGGAGCTTAGATAAACGGCTTAAATTGCTTTCTGATATCAGATTGTTTTTCTCCAGGTATTTCCAGAAATTTGCTTTTTTAAAATGAAATAATTATAACAGACAAAGTATACATATGTCTTTATTAAAGAAATATTTCTATGACTTCTGGAGGAAACAGTGGCCATTATGTCATATTGATTTACCTGAATAGCAGTGGGAGCCATTTTTAATTAATACAGTGCTAAAATTATTTGGAAAAAAAAAAATTGAATCTCCCTTTTCAGAAATCCATATAGACATAAAGTATATGTGTCAGTCCTCAGAAGATGAGAGTTAGAAAATAAAACTTCTTCTGAACAGGTAGAATAGGGAGCTGTGTTCTTTACATAAATTATAAATTTTGCCTCACCTCTCAGGGGCTGGAGAAACGGATTAGCTGATATATTAGTACATGACGCTATAATCTTAAACATTGTCTGAATCCAAGTATTTACTTCACTTCTATTGAGCAAAAAGTTAGGAAATTGAAACAGGAAAAATAAAATAATTCTACTGCATATATAAACATCAAGGCAAATCCTTTTTTTTTCTGTTTTTGATGCTTAATAATTAAGTTTCTAAATTCTTCCAAAAATCATAACAGTGATGTTTTTAGTCTGCTCATAGCTGCAGCCATACTGAACCTTTTCTTCTGTGGAGAAACCCATACAACCCTTTTACTTTGTGCCAACAAGCATCCTCACTATGCTTTATATGATGTTGAATTAACTTGCAATAAAGATGCTAGCATGATTAACAAATAACACCAAGACGGTATTTAATTTGATCTAAAGCAGAGCACTTTGGACCATTTTAGCAACGTGACCCTGCAAACAGATGTGAGCGCATAGTCTGTCTATGTCTGAAGGACACGTTGCTGTGATCCTATTACTGGCTGTTTCTCTCCTCCCTCTCCAGTTGAGGCCATGCAGGCCTACGTTGATGCTGGACTGACCACCTTCGACATGGCGGATATCTACGGTCCTGCAGAGGAAATATATGGACTGTTCAATAGCCAGGTGGACACAGACACTGCAATAAATCTTTTACCTTTTTACTCTGAATCCCTTTAACTTGTGAGCTGATTTCCATCATTACGTGTAAAACTTATTCAGTAAAAAACAAACCAGTGTTTCTTTAACACAAACAGAGTTGAATATAACTCTGTTTCAGAGTCAAAATGAGTATAAAATTAAATTTTTTGCTAGTGTCAGATTTTCGAAGTTAATTTAACTAATATTAGTGTCTAAATCAAGAAGACCTATCAGAGACTGGTGGGAAATCAATTCCACATAATGTAAGAGTTACACTGCAGGGCTGTCAAATTTTATACTGAATATTAATTAACTCAACACTTGAGCAGATTTACACTCACTATAGTTTTAAATATTCAATTTAGAGTTGGTATCAAAGGAAAGAACAAGACCTTATTATTTTTGTAAAATAAAATAAAAAAATAAATAATTACTTTAACGGCAAAAATCAAAGTTAATATAATCACCAAAAGCAGTCAACTTCCCTAATGTGGTATAAAAAATCTGAAGATTGCTTCTCTAAGAAATTCATTTAAAAAAATTTATTACAGAAAGAGATAAACATATTTTTTGTTACAACATAACAGAACAATAATGCTGACACAGGAAAAGATTTTTTTTTTTTACTCTTTAACTTGTCTCATTTACTTTTACATTTAATTGGCTTTTTCAAAATATTTAAAAAGCTTAGTTAAGTTTCTAACTAGTTGACTTTTTTTTTTTAAACTTAAATTACAGTAGGTAACACATCACACAGTGAATAACAGATTGCTGGTGGTAATCTATGAAGCGTTTCCACTCAGGTGTGGACCCTCCAAACCACATTTGACCTCAAGATTTTGCCTGTTTGCTGCAAACTGATGTTTACATCCAAGTTACTAAAATGGTAACATGGACTATAAATGGTTAAAACCAGAAACCTCTCAGAAATTTTTATCTAGATAGAAATGTTTTTAGAAGAGGTACCAAGGAGTTATTCTGTATTTTTATATTAAAATATAAATATAAAAAGTAGATGATTTTTAAGTTTAAATTGAGAGAAAAACAGTAAATCAGCAATAAAATAAGTTCCAGGTCAATACTACTCCTTCAGTTTGATCCTGTTTAGATTATTTCTGCTTCTTATTTCAAATATAGACCAGTTTGGATTAATTAAGTTTAAATATAATGATGGATCAAACTCATGCCGCACATTGTTTGTAATTCAATATGTCCTCTTATGACCCTCAGCTTAACTCAGAAGGAGCGTCTCCAGCTCTGCAGGGTCTGACCAAATTTGTTCCCCGACCAGGACCGATGGAGCGGAAGGTGATTACTGACTGTAATGCAGGTTTTATCCTCCAGGATGTTCATCTTTAGATCATCTCTGTAATCTGCCTTTAATAACACTTTTTGAAGCCTGGCTTCAACACAAAGCAATCTGTAGGCATTGAACTTCTTTTTAACATTTTATCTCAACAACCTGCCTTTTTTTATATTTAACTGGGATTAAATATTAACAGACCAACAGTTTTATACATAAACATTTTATATGTAAAGTAAATCAATAGAGTGAAACTTTCTTTCTGTAGTTTTTAGTGATCATATCTTTGGAGGCAGAAATATTTTTGAGTTATTTTTAGAATGACTTAAGCAAATAAAAGTTATACTGGAGTTTTTATAAACACATTTTCTAACCAGAATCAGATGTGGGGATGAAAATGAATTAATCCAAACCTTTCCCTGTCGCTGCTTTCCCTCAGCATGATGCCCCCACCACCATTTTTAACTTAGTGCGACATTTGTTTCCCTCCTCACCGGTGTTTTGTATTAAAAAAGTATTTTTCACGATGAATATAAACATTTGAGGTGATTTTAGTGAACTGGCTAAGTCAGTTAAAATGATATAATAATAATAATAATAAATTTTTTTATTAATTGTGTTGAAACTGTTTTTATTGCACTTATGGAAAGCACTTTGGTTCAGCTGGTGCTGTTGTAAATCGCTGTATAAATAAAGGTTGGTTGATTGATTGATTGAGCCACTGCTGGTGCTGACATGCTTCTGTTTTTAGGTGGTGGAGAAGGCGCTGCAGCGCTCCATGAGCCGAATGAAGGTGGACACCCTGGACTGTGTTCAGTTTCACTGGTGGGACTACAGAGACAAGAGATACCTGGAAGCCCTGGGACACCTGTCAGACCTACAGCAGGAGGGAGTCATACGTATGTTTGCCCTTAGTTCCCACATCAGCTGCCTACATAGATAAGTGGAGGAAGTTAATCTTTATTTTCTCATCTATACTTATTGTCTGAATAAGGAATTCCTTTGACTTTACTAGGTGAGCTCGCCCTCACTAACTTTGACACACAGAGACTGGAGGAGATCACTAGCAAAGGCATCTGCATCTCCAGCAACCAGGTAGCACTTACACCTGCAGGTTTTGCTTTTTGCTTCCTTGCACCCTTCCTCTCCTCATCCTGTGTTCATGCATCCGCTCCTTTTGCCTGTACAGGTTCAGTACTCGCTGATAGATCAGCGGCCTGCAGCCAAGATGGAGAAGTTCTGCGTTGCCAACAACATAAAGCTCCTCACATATGGAACGCTGGGTGAGTTCTATAGAGTGGGAGTTATTTAAACGCAGAGCCAATGCCAAAATGGTGGTTTCTGAAATGGAGTTGTGTATGTGGCTGTGACCTCCTCTTTATCCTTTTGCCTCCTCTTCCTCACCCCGTCTCCTCCCTGTTTAGCGGGCGGCCTGCTCTCTGAGCGTTACTTGGGGAAGGCGGAGCCCAACTCTCGGGCAGAGCTCAACACGGCCTCTCTCTCCAAGTACAAGAACATGATCGACTCTTGGGGAGGATGGACTCTCTTCCAGGACCTCCTTGTCGTCTTGGAGACCATTGCTAAAAGACATGAATGTTCAGTGGCCAGCGTAGCAACCCGTTACGTGCTTGACCGCCCTGCTGTAGGCGGAGTCATCATCGGATGTCGTTTCGGTGTCGCGGGGGCGGGGCAGTACATCTCTGACAGCCTGCACAGCTGCAGCCCCGACCTGAGGCTGACGGCGGAGGACCACGCAGCCATCGAAGCCGTCACACGGCGCTCCAGGGACCTGATGGCGCTCATTGGAGACTGTGGGGATGAGTACAGGAGCTGAGGGGGAGGGGCGGGTTGACAGACTGGACCTGACAGTTCAGTTAGGAAGAGGAGGGGAAAATATAACAAGCTCTCAGGGATGATACTCATTTAAGATAGATTTTGTTATTTTCATTTTTTTAAGAAGGACGTGGTTCAAATTTAAACATTTGTTCTGCGTGTTTTCTGTCTTTTTCTTTGCCTCCAATGTATATCTTAAGCCATTTCTCGTTTACATAAAGGTCTCTGTAACCAAGGTCTCTGAAGATGCTGAATAATTTAAATATTTTCCATTTGATGTCTGCATAATGTACCTGCTTTTAAAAGTCTAGAATGAGTCTAAAGCTGTGGTGCTGTTCTAGAAAAATGCTGTATATGAACATAAATTGCATTAACCAATGAACTTATTATGAGAAGCAATAAAACAACATGGACCACTGAGATTCCTGCACAGTAATGTTTCTTACTGCGTGAACAACTAATCATGGAGAGTAAAGCTCAGGATGCCATGACTCTGGATGTTCACATTAGGCAGCAGCAACAATCATAAGTTTTAAAAACTGGCAATGCGTCTGCCGGGTTTAGGTGAGTGTGTGTATCTGTCTAGCCCTCAGAGTGAGGACCATTTTTCCAATTTTACCATCAGATTGAGGACCAGTTGTACAGTGAGGACATTTTGCTGGTCCTCACAAGCTATTTTGCTAATGGTTAGGTTTAGGGCTAAGGTGTCAATTGGGTTAGGGTGAGGTATGCATGGGTAATGGTTAGGGTTAGGACATAGAAAGGGTTGAAAATCATTGGTCAATACATGGTCCTCACTACGTATAACAGAGCGAGTATGGGTGTGTGTGAGTGGGGGTGGTGGTTTCTATTTCTTTTATTTCATCCACTTTGAAGCATTTGGCATGGCCATCTTTTTTAAGGTGGTCCTGCTAAAACATCTGAATCAGACTTTGACTAGGCCATGCTTAAGCTTAATTTGGATCATCTTTGTAGATCAACACGCCCACCTTTCATAGTAGGATCATGTGTACGTTAATGCTTTAACAGAGATGAACTGACTTGTGCACATCCCTATCAACCCTTAGATCAATGCACTTTTATTTATAGCAAACCATCTAAACAATGACATCAACTACGATAGACCATCTTGTTTTTTTTCCGATCTCATATGATCCAAAATGAATCAGGTGTTAGAATTACCTCCAATCTAGTTTTTTTAATCTGCACAACTCAGACTTCAGGTGGAGATGGTATTTTATAATTTTTATGATCAGTAAGAGAATTTACTGTCTGAAAAACTTTGATGCACTTTGGCCAACATTAGCTTGTTTTATATGGAGATGATAATGTATTTGTGCGCACTTTAATCATATATAAAAAAAAAAGAAAAACCCTAGAGAGAATCCAAATTATCCTAACTGTGAATGGTCAGGTACCGCCTGCTGCCTGCCTAAATCTTTCAACATACTCATCAATTATTAACTAGCATTAAATATACAGGAGTCCCTGCAGCGTTGAGCTTTTATGGTCATGCAGACTTGAGCCAATCATCAGGGTTCTTTATTTTAAGTTTGGCACGGACCAGAAGGATTGGTGATTTGTTACTGTCTACCAGGGGCGGATCTAGAAAAATATTTATGGGGTGGCAAGAGGGGGGCAGGAATTTTTTAGGGGTGGCAACATATGGCATTTGTTTACACTGAATTTAATCACAGTTATCACAGTTTGGTGAGAATAGTATGTACAGTACTAGTGTTTCATGTGAAACAGTTCATATTAATAATACATTGTACAATGAGATCTCACTTAATAGGAGATAGAAGAATGATAACACTACTTCTAGAGGGGCATTATGACAGGAAAGGTATTAAGGTAAGACACAGGTGCTGAGTCGCAGATGTGTGAGATTGACTGTCAGAGAGGCAGCTTTGCAGCATTTGCACAAGAAGAAACTATAGAAAGAAAAACGTACCCATCAGAGATCTATGGACTGAGCTGTACTAAAGTGAGCATAACTACACAGTAGAAATAAATGGGTCAAGGCACCCGAACAAGGTACTGGACATCTATGTAATGTTTACTCTGAACACACATTTACCCCATTTGTTCCTCAGTAACTTGACATACAGCAGTTAAGGCAACATGAAAGGGACATTTCATGCATGTAAATATGCTGTAGATAGAGCTGCATATGGAGGACCAACTCCGCCATATTTAAAAATAAATACAGAAATAAATAAATGCTCGATAAATAAATAAGCATACAATAATTGCCACCAAAAATACAATCAACAAATAAATGTAATTAGAAATTATATTATAATGGCAGGCAGAAATGTTAAAAGGGCAGGCAGAAAGAAATAGCGGCGAAGAAATAACTAGGGTAAAAAAATACAAAGGAAGAATAAAACAGACAAAAATATGATAACATGCACATAAATAAATACTTAAAATATAAGTAATTAAAAAATGAAGTTGAAGATAATAAATGACAAAAAAATAAATAAGGTAAATATTAAAAAGGCAAAGAAATAAAGAAGCCAATTAAAAGAGTTATATACCTTTATGACTAGCTGTATAATTTAATTTCTACTTACATTTATTTGTTGTTTGTATTTTTGGTGGCAATTAATTGTATGCTTATTTATTTATTAAGCATTTATTTATTTCTGTATTTATTTTTAAATATGGCAGAGTTGGTCCTCCATACTGCTGTATCAACAAATCAACAAAAAGGCGGGTTCTTTATGTTACATTAAAATCTCCACAAATCTGAAAAGAAGCAACATAATAAATACATTTTGCTTGTGAGTAGGTTCATACGGGTCATTTCTGGATAGTTTCATATTATATACAAAAAAAGAAACAACACTGCTTCATATTAAGCAGGATTCACACCAGTATCACATTTTTAACTTTTAACACTTTTGGTTTTATTAAAGGAAATATCAGATTTTCTCAGGTGCCAAAGCAAAATGTAACAGCTCGGTAAAGGCTCACCAGAGAGCATAACATAAAGTTAACATGACTATAACAGCTGAATGAAGCGATTTCCATGTTGCTCAGCAAAACGCTTCACAACTTTATTTAGATCCAAAGCCTCTGTGCGTTTTGATTTGAGTACAATCAAACTAGATCGTCTCTTTTCTGTCATAGTTGACCGAAAATATGTCTTTATGAGCCTGAGACGTCAGGCCTAACTAACATCATAGATAGAGAAATAACGTTCTGCAACCTGATTTTTATCATCTCAAAATCAGCATTGCAGCTATGCTAGCAACATTGTGCTTTCATTATGATTTCATTTCTCGATAGATAGTTAATCAATTTTTACCTGTTTCATCCCGTGTCTCCTCTCCCTGTGACCCCTGGCTCCCTCGCTTTGCCAAATTCGGTTTTCAAAACAGTCAGTCTCAGTCGCTCTTGCGTCATCTCGTGCTGCATTCACTGCAGTCCGACATTGGAAATTAGCGGTTGTAATTCTCAAATGATCCATAATTTATAAGCCTTGCCACCCCTACCGCCAACTGGGGTGGCAGCAGGGGTGGCAAGGCTGTCATTTAGGGTGGCATTTGCCACCCTATGCCACCCCAGTAGATCCGCCTATGCTGTCTACCCTCTTCAGGACTCTCTGATTTAAAAACAAACAAACAATGTTTTTAGTTATTTCTAAAGAAGAGATTATTAGCCTCAGTAATTGTATACAGTTCAGGATATTGCCAAAGTATTCACACATAAACTTGACAGTGCTGACTGTGATGTTTGCAGCTGTAACAGCTTTAGCTCTCCTGGGAAAGCTGATGGGAATAGTTCTCCAGAAGAGCTTTGTTCAAAATCCTTTTAGTAGTGCTAACAGTGGCTCAATTTGTGTGGAGGTTTGAATTTTTTAGTGTGTATAAAGATTTTTAGACCAAAAAGAAAGATTTAGCTAATCTGCTGAATAACAGCTTAAGGTTAAGTCTCTATTTTAAGGGTGATTCAGATTGTGCTCCAAATACCTCCTGATTATGTGTCTACAGTCAAGCAAAAACTCCTCATGAAAGCAGAGTCAGAACAGGATGACTTAAAAACCTTTCTGTCCATGTAAACTGGGCTATATATAGCTCTGTTTTGAGACCTGAATGATCGAGCGGAACGCATGACAGCATTTTTACATAAATTATACTCTTAGAGTTGACAACAACCATACATTTCAATTGTTTAGATTTTATATGATTGAAACACAAATTTAAACATGATTTAAATGAAAAGGAAACAACGTGCTCTAAGGCTTTTTGGGTAAAAAAAATAAAAATAAAAAATAAGCTGTGCTTTTGTATTCCACACATTACTTTAATCATGAATAAAATTAAGTGCGGATGTAAAAACCAGCTGTCTAGGAAAGCCAGAGAGATTTCTTAGACATCACTGGTGACAGAAATAACTACATCATAAACACTAAGGAACAGCAGGCAGGTCAGAGAAAAAGTTTTGAAGCAGAACTGAGCAACAGATCCATACCCCAGTATATTCTGAATACCTTACAGAGCGCTGTTCAATCCAAAACCCCAATCTGTTGACAGGACAGCTCTTAGATGTGCACTCTGACAGAAACAATGTCAAAAAGAAAACTTCTTTAAAAGAAAGCTCTAAGAAAACCCATTTGTTTTTTTAACAAGCCATTGAAAATGGCAAACATTTAAAAAAAAGCAGATCTGGTGGGAGGAGAAAGAAATGCAAAGTTTTTTGTTATACATGTAACTGTTCACTCTCCTCCTTAGCGGTAAAGGTGGTTATATACACTAGAAGAACACCCGGCTGCCAAAGATTTGAGGCTGGAGCAGGAGGTTCTCTTCCAGCAGGACAACATAAAACAGCTAAACCTAACCTGTAATTATTTAGATAACATTGTATTTATTTTAATCCGTACCTCTTTATATCCTAATCTGAACTGTATTCCTAATCTGGGGAAAAACTGGAGACTTCTTATATTTAACAACTCCTCCTATTTAATCCGACTGAGCTTGAACGACTAAGCATAAGACTAAGATAAATGACATCAACTTTCTGTCTCTGAATGTGTGAATCTAAAAGAGACAAAGTATTGACTGACAGGACCTGAATACAAATAAATTGCATGCTTATTAAGCTCTGCTCTGCAAAAACAAAAAACAGGGGTATTCAAGCAACAGCACTTGACCGAAAAACAAACCACTGTTTTGCATACTTTGATTTGCAAAAAACACACAAAAAAAGTTGATACTATAAATTAATTATGCCCTGATTCTGTCAATAAGACCTAAACCTACAGGTGCTAACACTTTTATTCTGTCCTTAAAAATCCCTCCTTTCCCGTCACCATCTCTCTCTGCTTAAACAAGAACAACACCAGACAGGGGGAGTGTGAAGAAACAATCCCTTTATTTGTGTGAAGTGGTTCAAATGAAAGTCAAAAGAGTTAAAAACAGTCGGTGCTCAAACAGACCAAGCCAGAGGTTTCTCTCATCCTGCTGTGGAGAGAGAGCTACATGTTGAGACCAGATGGAAAACCCTCAGAGTCTCAGGTGTGAGACAGAAAAATATAAAAATACAGGACTCCAAACCAGGTTTACTCAAACAACAGCACCAGCAAGTTCACTGCAGAGGTAGAAGACTACAGGTTGAAGGAGTGAATATCTGTGAGGGACCCTGATGGGGTCAAAATCTGCAGCAGGACCTCATTACTATGACTGAAATGATTTGGTTGCTCTTAGGAGATTGTGATAGAGCCCTACAGGCCTCTCTTCCTTCTGTGTGGGCTTAATTGTTGTTTCCATGGTGATCACAAGTTTAAAAAGTGTCAGTTACCATGTTGCTCCTGCCTCTTCTGGAGTGGCCCTCACTTGGCGTTAGCAGAGCTGCTGAGCATCTTATGCACCACCTGGGCGATGGCGTTGCGGTCAATGCCAAAGATCTTCAGCAGCTCGTGGGGTTTGCCGCTACGGGGCACCTGGGAAACCGCCAGGCGGTGAACGGTGAATCCTGGTTCATTCACTACTGCTGAGCACACGGCTTCACCAAGCCCACCTGTGGAATACAGAGCAGAGCCAACAGATATTTTAGTGACAATTTTTGACTAGATCACCTTTTGTTGTGTCCCAGTTTTCCACAAATACTTCTGAACTCAATCCAACACTCTGTGCTGGAAATCTAAAGCATCACACTGAGAGCATTAGTTTCCATGGCAAAGAATGATGCTTCTTCAGCAAGGAGTGGGAAGCGGGTCAGAGATGAGGTAAATAAAGAGCAATCCTGAAATAAAACTGTTAGAAGAACCAAACGTCTTAAAGCCAGAACAGAGATTCTCCTTTAAAGATAAGACAAAACTAAAAACACAGCCAGAAAAACTTTAGAGGGTTTAAGTCAACGAAATTCAGACCAAAATATATTTGATGAACTGCTGCAAGACTTAAAAATTATTATCTTAGCAACTGTCCATTCACTCTAAATGGAGCCTAGGTGGAAGTTCACCTGAATAAACTGATTACTTATCCTCATCCGCCTATGACACAAGCTAATCAGTTTTGATCCACACCTCCATGAAAGCCCAATCTACATCCAGGGTTAATTAAAAAATGTCTGACTTTGATTCAGATGACCATGATTCAACCCACCTCCAGCCCCTCCTCCACCATCGTAGCTAAAGCTTCATCAGTGTCATTCCTCCCGGACTCTTACTGAGTCTCATCTCAACCGGTCCGGCAGCAGACCGCAATCTTGAGCCTGGTTCTGCCAGAGGTTTCTTCCCAACGGGGATTTTTTTCTCTCCACTTTCGCTTCATGCTTGCTCATCATGGACAGGTTCATGCAACCTGTGTTATCAGAGCTCGACTTCCATCTTCCAGGTCCCTGAGTGAAGCTCTAGTATCAGCTCACTCAGTCCAACGGATTGCTCCATACAGCTCAAACACTCCGTCTCGCTAACCAGCAGTCTACAGACTGACCAACTTCATCTATCTCCACTCCACCACCTGTTTCAGGGCTGGGGGGAAACAGCCCTATTCTTTGCTCCTGTTCAGGCATATCACTCAAACTTCAGTGCTAATGTTTCCTGCTGCGGTCTGAGCTCCAAAGACAAAAGTAATTGTATCAATACAATTCTTCTAATTGTCTTTTTCTATTCGTGTGAGTTTTTCAGATTGAACTAGGCTTGTCAAAAATTTGTTAGATGTGCAGTAGAAACAAGAAACCATATTTCTGGGGGAAAAAAATCTAATTAAAGTACATTAATATTGTTTATTTTCCAATAAACAATATTTGTGTGTTAGTTTGTAAAACTGTGACTTCATTAACAGGCTGCAAAACAACAAAAAAGATCAATAAAATGACAGAAACAGCAGCTTAATCAAGAATACTAACAACATGTGGACCAGCAAAGACAAAGGGAGATTGAAATCGGTTTTAAGAAGCTTCTGTCTATCAGACCTCAGCTGTATCTGGCTCAGTTTGAGCCCAAAGGCCAGAGTTGAAATTAAGAAACTCTGACAGCCCTGTTCCTTCAGAATAAGCTGTTTACACAAACCTTGCACATGCAGTTTTCTTCCTGTAGAATCATCAAAAGGATCTAAGAATATAAATTGTCTGAAATTTCACAGGGTGGTCATAAAATAAAAAAATATGTGAACTGCAGATTGATTTACTATTTTCTATCTATAACTATATAACTATAACAAAATGTTATAGTTCAACTCTTTCTGGAGCACAGATGTCAGAAATTGACATCCAATGAAAGACTAATGTGACCAAATATTCAACTAAATTAAGCAAATAATTTTATTTCCAAATTTGATACAAGGGCTTTTTATCTTTATATGAAAGTTGATTAAGATTTGACCAAAGTTTCAGGTTTAAAAGTGGTAATGCTCATGTTTATTATTTGTTTAAGAAATGTTCATCTACCAAGAATGTATGAAATTTTATCTGGTAAAGCAGGTTTGTCATTTTTCACCTTCATAGTAGTGGTCTTCCACTGTGACAATGCGTCCTCTGGTGGCCCTGGCGTTGTCGATGATCGTTTTGGAGTCCAGGGGTTTGATGGTGAACAGGTCAATCACACGAATGTTGATTCTCTCTAATAAGGAGGGAGAAGAAAAATCATCTGTATATAAAATCATCTATTACTCTACATGTGTTGTGTTTTTTCTGTATCTTTTGCTATGTTTTTGTCTGTTTTTCCCTCTGTAACCTCCAACCTTTTTTCAGCATTTCTGCTGCAGCCAAAGCCTCATGGAGGGTGACTCCCGCTCCAACCACGGTCACATGGTCGTCATTGGTTTTATACACAACCTGAATGCAAGGAGAAATATCTGAGTCCACAGCTCAGGTCAATCCAGGGGAGCATAATGTGCAAAAGACGGATTTTATTTGCATTGGAGAATTCTACATACCGTATTTTCCAGACTATAAGCCGCTACTTCCCCCCCCCCCACGGTTTAAACCATGCAACTATAAGAAGGTGTTGCTTTTCTGTGTATTTTTCTAATCGCCGGAGGGGGAAGTCAAAGTTGGAAATAGGAATAGGGGGCTCATTTTCATTTAGCACAAGAACATGCTAATAGCCGGAGACGGAGCCATGACGGAGAACAAAGGTCTCCAATTCACACATTTTGACATTTATTTGCCGCATTAAAGCTGCTGAACCAATGAAGAGACTGTTGGGCTCAACTCCTGCAGAGCTGAAATAAAGAGCCAACTAGGGCTGAAACATTTAATCAGACAATCTTGATTGATTATTAAAATAAACGTCAACTAATTTACTAATCAATTCATCTTTTACTGGAGTATAGAAACTGTAAAACATGCCTTTGGCAGACAGAGCTAAAGGCACCAAACCCCTACAGGTTTGGTGGGAGACCGTTTAGTAGATATCAGCGGCTTATTGCCTATAATTATTGCATATAGTGAGGTGCGCTCTATAGTATGGAAAATATTGCATTTATCTTCGTTAGCTCAGGTTGCTACCCTTTGATCAGCTTTCATGCACACAGGCCAGATATCTCTTCTAGTGTGACTGGTGGCGACATGATTTCAATGCAGAACATCAGCATCCCCAAACTCGGTCCTCAAGGCCCGCTGTCCTGCAGGTTTTAGACGTTTCCTTGCTCCAGCACAGCTGATTTTAATTGAAAGCTGATTAACAGGCTTTTGGTCTTCTGCAATCATTATAACCAGCTGTGCTGAGGCAGAGAAACCTCTAAAACCTGCAGGACAGGGGGCCTTGAGGAACGAGTTTGGGGATGCCTGCACTAGAAGATCATTTCTTTCCAGTAGATACAATCTGGGTTTCCTTTATAAGAATCTAACTATAGTGGCCTTGAACATTGGACAATAGGTGGTCAAAGGCTCAAACATATGATATCACTGCCCGGCTAGCTCAGTCGGTAGAGCACGAGACTCTTAATCTCAGGGTCGTGGGTTGAGCCCCACGTTGGGCGGATACAATTTTGGGGGAGTGGTGGTCTAATGATTAGGTTCTGAGTTCGATCCCCCACTGCCAGTCTGGCTCCCTGGGTGCCACACAATGGCAGCCCACTGCTCCCCAAGGGGGAGGGTTTAATGCAGAGAATTAATTCCGTTGCTCTGAACTTGCGACAGTGGAATGACAATAAAGTTGAATTCTGTTATTGCTTTGTAATGGCTGATTCAAAACAATGAATATTGTTCATCATTAAGGAGTTGATTCCCTGATCCCCTATTCATTGAGGGAACTGTAAAAGTATAATGAAGTATAATAATACTGTATATAGTATATACGTAGTAATAAGAATAATCACCTGTTTAAACAGATTGTACTGGATGAGGTGCTGCAGGTTCCTTTACTCACCTTCTCAGCTTCAACAGATGATCTTACAAAAATATAATTAATTTGATACAACATTTAACATTTAAATTTCGTCCAGATCTAAAAATAAAGCTCTTTGTCCCTAAAGCTATTTGCAAACTGTAATCTTCATTGTTAATGTTTCATCTTCGTCTCTGAGTGGCTTTTCAGCTCATGTCAATGTAGAAGTGGTTTCAATGTGGATGTTAAGGCTCTGTAACAAGCTTCAGCTTGTATCTTTACGTCTTTTGTCGATCCACTGTTTACACCAAATGGTATTGATCTGTAAGCAGAACCTGTCTATGTTCTAACAGCTATGATAGCTGGACGTTCCCATAACGTTTATTCAGGCATGTATTTGTTTCAGTGTATGAATGAGTCAACCTCAGGCATCTGGCTGCTTTGCCAATGATCAATTCTGGGCTTTCATTCATTCCATATTACTTAGATTATTTGTGGATGTGTTATAATAATTATGTAGAAATAAGTACATCTGTTCTTTCTGGCATTTGTTAAAAATAAAAGTGAAATTGGCATTAATAACGTAGCTAAAACAGGGCACATTTAGCCAGGTTTAGTGCAAGATTAAACGGCTTTACTTTTGTTTTTTTAAACAATGAATGTAAATATCCATTTTAAACTGCAAGTAGACAAAGTTAAAATTAAAATTGAAATGGAGCTAATTTAAGAAGAAATGGAGTTAAGGAAACCCTGCTACAGACCTTAGCCTGACCAACATGGAAGTCCTCATTGGAATTATAAATTATGTTGTTTTCTGGGCGACTTGTTCGGATGAAACACAAACCCTGAAACAAACCACAAATAACCGTCATGGGAGATAATTTTTGAAATCCCAATATTCACGGAAATGTATATTTGACTACCTTTGTCATCGCTGCAATCTCCACTGCCTTCTCTGTGGACACCCCATCGCTGGGGTAGAAGATGGTTGAGGTGGGAATGGCTCTAAACATGGCCAGGTCCTCCAGGCCCATCTGAGAGGGTCCATCTTCACCTAATAAATCATTCCAGCAACAAGACAAAAAAGTCACAAGAACTGGCGCAATTTGAGACTGATAATGTAATGAAGAAGAGAGACAATCTTTAAAACCACAGATTCTCCATCCACTTTATGTTTAAGAATCCCAATAAAATACCTGCTATCAGCTGCATCCAGTGTTCTGATTATATGCCGAAGGTTTTGTTAGACGTAATAAAGAAACTAAAAGAAAGCTCAGTAGAACTGACCGATGGAAACGCCACAGTGGGAGCCACAGAGGTTGATGTTACTTTCAGAGATGGCGGCCATTCGGAGCTGGTCGTAGGCTCGGCTGAGGAATGTGGCGAAAGTGCTGGCGAACACCACGTTACGGTCCCGGACAGCACAGCCGATCGCCACGCTCACCTGGATGAGGGAGGAAGGAGAGACGCAAGGGATGTTACTGTACTCAGGGGATTATTGGGATATTATACAATAGAGAAATGTCCAGAAATGCAGAACAGTGAATTGGAAGGAAGGGTATGTTAGTCATCTCTCATTTAAAAAACAAAAGTTACAGCTGCAGGTCCTTAAGAGTATTACTCTATGCCCCTACACAAGGCAGTCTGGACCAACTGGTCCATTCTAACCACTGTATCTCTGGCCTTATGATTACAAATAATAATCCTGACCAGCTTCCTTTCCAATGGAAAACATGGGGCTTTATTTCATATTGGACATCATGATGTTTACTTCTTTACATAAAGCGTTTTGCATTTTAGGTTTACATTTCATTCTCATCAGGCCACAGCATCTTCTTCCACATGCTTGTTTGTCTCCATGGCAAACTGAAAACACTAAAGGGTTTCACTCTTCAATTAAATGTCAGATATATGAAGCGTTTCAATATGAACTGTGCTGCTGTACTGATTATAACCTTAATGTTATAGTTGCTCAGCATTTCAGTTCAGCTTGTACTCTAATCATTTTTGAATGATGTATGTGCTCCATGTTATGTTTAAAGCATGGTATATTGTTTTAGAACCTAGAACTGCTTTAAACTTCTCCACATCCTGACCTGTCCACCTTTGCTTTTATGTTTCATGATGATATTCTGCAATATTTTAAAAAACAAAACCAAAAATGGATCTGAGCTGCTGACATTTGAAGCTATATCTTTGCACATTGTATTAAGTTGTGCCAAAGTTTAAAGGGGAATGCATGCCACACTTTTCAGGTATAATCAGTACAACATGTTAAAATTCATGTTTTCTTTCACCTCTTCACATTTTTTTCCCACTACTTTTTGTTAATCTGTCAAATTAATCCCATTAACTGACACTGAGGCGTGTGGCGTTAATTCATAATCAGCATTTACAATTATTAGAACCGCGCAAGTCTTAAACCAACATAATATTCTTCATTTGATCTATCTACTGAATAGCAGGAAAAAATGACAGTTTTTTAACATTTAAAATCATCTGACTTAAATTCAGCAAAGAAAAAAAAAACACCTCAAAAAAGGTTAATATTCTAACAGAAAAGCTTTCTTATTAGTATTCTTGACCAAAACAAACAAACATTTTATTATTTAAATGCTAACAATCAGGCTTCATAATTATATCAGTCTGAACCTAGAATATGTACAATATTGACCAAAATTTACTGAGGTTATCAACATTTCCTTTCCCTCTTCTTCATGCTTCTTCTTTCTCCTCCTACCTCCAAGCTCCCTAGATGCTATAAGCGCATCCTAAGTCTTACCATGTTCTGCTCTGCAATATAGCACTCCACGTAGCGGTTGGGATGCTCGTTCTTGAAGAGCTCAGAGAAGGTGGAGTTTTTAGTGTCCCCATCAAGGACGACCACGCGTTCGTTGTAACGTCCAAGTTTGGCCAGAGCCACGCCATAAGCCTTTCTTGTAGCAATCTGGTTACACACACAAACCAGTCCATAACACCTCAGATGAACAGAGAACCTAATAATGTCATCAGTTGCTGCATTACTAGCCAAAGTGTCACATGCTTGACCTCACCTTATCTCCAGGTTTGTAGTTGGGTGCACTAGGCATGCGGATGTTGCGGAGGCTGACGGGTGATGTGTCCTCGTTGGGCAGAGCAGGATAGAGGCGCTTGTTGCAGCTGATGATGCGGCTCTGCAGGTCTCGGATCACGCTCTCTGACATGTCTTTGGGTAGAGGCTTTCCATGCCAGCCCATCTTATCCTCAGCCGCTGACAGACACATAAACACAGTGATCTAATATAAAGAACTGTCCTCAAGAGTTAGCCTGCACGCTTTAAGGGATCCCATGTACACTGCTGGTTCTAAGCATACAATACTCTGTAAACACAACTCCCTCTAAACTTTAGTATAAACTTATCATCTTTACAATCATCCCTGTGCAGACAGGAATAAGCCTGCCCAGATGTGCAAATCATAACAATTTTCCACTTCACAAAGGCCCAACAGGTTTTTTTTTAAACATTAGGGGTTAAAAAAAGGGGTCAAGAGACTTTTGGCTTTCTTAGCAGAGACATAAAGCCCCTAAGTGCAGAACGCACTGTTAAAACAACAGTCTCTTGGTTGCTGTCTCTTTCAATCACATGTGGCTGAGCAGTTTTGGCCTTCTTATCATAACATGAGCACAAAGGGTGGCTCCTGGGAGTGTATCTTACACATTCTGAAGGATTATTGAGCTGCAGCAGCTTAAGCTGGACAGAGCTGCCTGGCTTATGGCCATTTGGAGGCTCAGGCCACTGCTGGCAGGTCCAACCCCATCTGAGTCAGTTTTCACCATCTTAACCAGGTTGTTTTTTTTTGTTTTGTTTTTTAATCATCTAAAATGTCACTAAATGATTTCAGAAACGTGTGACTGACGTTGTAGCCTCCTCCTGGTTGTTGTACCTGGGATGCCCTTGCCCTTGATGGTCTTGGCTATGATTGCGAGAGGCTGGTGGCGGGGTTGACTCAGCACCTTGCACAGCTCCTCCACACTGTGACCATCCACGATAATTGAATGCCATCTGGACAAACAGAAAACGAAGTTACCAATTATGCTGGAGAATAAAGGAAAATGTTTTCTATAGTATATGTTTCCATAGGGCCTGTTGACATGGCCACCTTCAAATCTTAAATGCTTTTTTCTATCCACTACAATGTTAAGTTGTATTTTAATAGTTTTTAGCTGAAATGTTTCTGCTGAAATTTAACCATATAATATTGTTCAGCCCCAGTTGCTCTTAGTTACAGTCAAACGATACAGCCCAAGCACTTCTCCCACAGCTCACCCAAAGGCTTCACAGCGTCGCTGATACTTCTCCACATGGTGCTGCAATGGGGCAGGGTCACTCTGGCCCAGGCGGTTAATGTCCAATATGGCCACCAGGTTGTCCAGCTGATAGTAGGAGGCGAAAGCCATGGCCTCCCACACCGCACCCTCTGACACCTCCCCATCACCCAGCAGACAGAACACCCGATAGCTGCGAACAGGGAGAGATTTTGTAAATAGAAATACATCCAGACTTAAAAAAATCCTCTAATCACCCTCTTTCCATCACTCAACCATCCTGCCCCAGTGGTTGCCTTTGTGACATAACATCCTCCAACAGATTTCCAGTCAGATGGATACTTTGATGTTTAAAAACTGGCCAAGACATGCAGCTTTACAGCACACGCTCCTAGCATGAGAAATCCCATGTGGCACAGCGTCAAAGCTCAGCTTCTGGTTAACTGAAGTCTAAATGCAGTGTTTAATGTTGTTATAAAGCATATTTCTTTTAGACTAATGCATTAATTAAAAATGCAGACTTTTCTGCACATCTTCAACAATACTGATTATGGAAGAAAAACAATGCACTCATGAGGTGTGAGCTGAGAATAAGACGAGGTGAAAGTTCTTCTAGCAGATAACCTAAACTTAGTCAGGGATGTTTCTGACATTTTTCGTTATAATCATTATATCCTGTCTAAACTAAAAAGGAGGTGAAGAATGAAGCTTTCAGTGAGTCAGTACTTTGCAGACATATAGATCCTAGACATCCAAAAACTTTATTGTATTATATACTTACTGAATATGACAGATTGACACAAAAGGGCAAATAATTGTTATTAGTTTATTTCTGAACAGAGAAAACAAACCCTAATAGGTGTCATGCAGGAATGTTTGGCAAAGAAGAACAAAATACAAATTTTTTTTTTTTGCAGACCAGTTTCTAAAAGAGTCCTTCAAAACACATATTACAGAACACGCTCATTCTATACTTTCAGTTATGTAGAAAATGCTAGAAACAGGGTATCATGGTCCTTATCATGCTCACCTTTATAAAAAGCCATCAATCCAGTAAAATCCCAATGAATCCCGTTCAGGTTTTAGGATGTATGCTGACCAAATGATTATATGGAATAAATACTTTGCTTTCGGCATTATCTTCAAGATTTACAAAGAAAAGTGAAGCTAGATAAGAAGGAACTGAACATTTTTTGTCTATATCTTCAGAGCATCAAAGCAGAAACAAATAATACTATTATTCTGAGTTTGGTTTCCGTATTCCTATGCCTCAATTCATCCATGTTTTGTATTTGAACAAGCATCCACCTTACAGCTGCTGGAGTTCTTTATTAAAGATAGCTGCTCCACTCAAACACATTCTATAACAGTTTAACACCTGGGGGGTTGAAAGATGTGCTGCTCAGGAGGTCTATATGAAGTATAAACACAAGAGCATAGAGGGTAAAACCTAATCTGCATATCTGAGTATAGTTGGCATTGCAGTATGGGCTTTTATTGTTTTTTTTAGAGGACCTGCGACACATGAGGCAGAGCGATGATGGAGTAACCATGTTTTTGAGTGTCTGATTATTAGAGCAGAAACAATTGAGTGCAGACAGAAAGCAGGGGATCGGGCTGCGAATACGCATTCCTTTAACGCCCGTTTCCATCTCTGTTGTGTGCAGGAGAACAACCTGTTTTTTTTAGAAAATCTCCCTAAAGAGTAAAATGTTTGAGTCTGTTTCTAAAACTGACATTTCAGCAGTTTGGAATCTTATCCACGCTGAAAGTGTGAATGTTGTGTTTGTGCCCTTTTACAGACTATAAAGCGATGCCGGTTTATTGTTGCTGAAAAATCCACGTGGGTTTTTCTAGATTGCAACGGAACAAAGGACAGACAGGTGGAGCGATCGCAACCATTTACCACGCAGCTGAGTAAGTGTTTAAATAAACGGCACTGTGGGCTTGTTAGATGGAGAGCAAAGGAAGGCTATCTATATTTGAATAGGCCATAAATCAACTGAGAATTTTGAATTGATTTAGAAATCAGGTGTTATTATATTCTATCTATACTAGTTAAGGATATAAAGATGAACCAGATGAAAGCTCTTTTCTGGTAGGTCTAATTGGTGTCTAAATGTCACAGACTCAAAGTGTCAGTGAGCATCATGTTTCTGCAGATGTTACCTGGCCTTGTCAAAGTATTTTCCAGTGTAAGCCATTCCACAGGCAGCTCCCAGCCCCTGGCCCAGAGATCCAGTGGCTACGTCCACAAACTGCTGCTTCTGTTGGCAAAAACAGCGAGAGAAACATGCATTTTATACACCTTAGACTGCAAAATCTGAGCTCAGTGTGACATACATGGGATGGTTTGCTTTGTCATTTCACAGTTGGAGAAAAACATGCAACACATCTCTAATCTATGCTTTAGAGGGGTGCAAGTGTTGTGGTGTCTGGGTTTGATGTAAAGTGTTGGTCATGTCTGCACCAGAGAACAATGGTGCGTGCCACACAGAAGAAGCTTTGTTAATGTGATTCTTTCTGCAACTGTTTACCAGTCGAAATATACGCAGTAGTGAAAAGGATTTGTTACCTTAGAGATTTTTGCTGCCTTGTCACATTAACATGTTTTAGAAAAACATCCTAATGTAAGTCAAACATGATGACTTCCAAAAAGCTGTAATTATTGGAGGCTGTCCAAACCTACTTCCCTTGTAAAAACAATTAACCACAGCTTTTGGTAAAAAAAAATAAAACAAAACAAAAAAAACTTAAGACATCGAAAGCCCTTTAGGTCTCATTCGCTATAGTCAGTGTTAATGATTTAACAATAAGAAAGGTTGAAACCACATGATCTCAGCCATCACACAATCAGGCAGACATAGTAATGTGATGGTCAGCAGCTGCTTTGCTGCTTCAGGAGCAAAACTGCTTCCTGTAATCAATCAGTCCATAAATTCTCCTCTATCAGAAAACCTTTAGTTCGAGAGAGTAAGCTGCGGCTTATTTAGCTTACACAGCAGGAAAGTGTCCTAGTCATTAAATCTAATGATGTTTCGTGGCAAAGAAATTGAATAAACAGTCAATTTCCTCAAAGTTTAATTCTCTGGGATGTAAAAGAATTATTGCCAGACATCGACAATGCTTAATATGAGTCATTGTGTTTGAGACGTTTTAACGGATGTTATCTTTTACGGGGCAGATACTATTTTATCCAGAGCTTGATTTTGCTTTTATTCTGGAAATAATTTTCTGATATTTTAAGCTTTTTAAATGCTTGAAACATTTAGTTGTGTCAAATAAGTAAAAACAAATTGCAGGACAAATATTTTTTTTTAAACATTTTTTCTGCATGTTGATGTCTTTGCAGGATACAGACGTTACAGCAGCTCATCACAAGAAAAAGCCAAACTCAGCGTATTGAAGAAAAACAAAATCAAGAAGAGAACAGCTTTCTTCTTTTTGTCTTGTTTAGCTTTCCTCAAATTTAGTTTTAGATGGAATGCTTCTCAGTTTCTCCCAGAAGCAAAACAAAAACATTATTTTTTTCTTTGCACAAATTGTCAAATTTTTCAAACAGTCTAGATGAAAGCAATACAAATCTAAAAATTCTTCCTTCTTGCAGGACTAAGCTTGCTCCTTACTGGCACAGGGTGTCCTTCCAGGATGGAATCAACTTTACGGAGGTTAAGAAGCTCATTCTCCTTCAGGTAGCCGACCTCTGCCCAGACAGCATACAGCACAGGAGCTGCATGACCCTAAAGAAGCACAGCAGAGAGGTTGGATTCTTAATGCACCAGTTGAACTACTTATTTCTAACCAGTACTAAATGCTACATGGGTCAAATGAGGACATGATAAGGGTGATTCAAGCATAGCCCTGGGTGTTTGTTATCTCCCCCCAGACACTGAACAGTGCTGTGTGGCACAACATTGTGCATCCAGCCCAAAGCCTAGTTTTACCTTGGAGAGGATGAACCGGTCATTATTGGGGTCTCTGGGGTCTTCAGGTCGGTATTTCATTGAATGAAAGAAAAGGACTGACATGATCTCTGCAACGCTGCAACATGACGTGGGATGGCTGCAAAAATAAGGGGTGTTAAAGAAATCAGACGTGGATCTATTGAAATGACAAATGCATTTCTGTTTTCTGGAGATACAGATATGGACGTTAAAGTAAGCCAGGGTAAAGCAAAAAAGAAAAGTATAATCTTTCAACACCAGATGTTGTTAGACTGTGCAGCAGTAACACACAGCATGCATTTTACCTAAATATCCAAAACTCAACGTCCACAAGAGGACATGCACTGAGATACCAGTTTCTTCTAGTTTTTCATGATAGCGCACATAATACAAAAGTATCTCAAAACTATGATCATTTAACACAAAATGGGATGCTTTTTTTTTTGTTTGTTTCGATTACAAACTATCCCAGTGACACTCCCAGAGAGTTATTACCCTTTACTGTGATGAATTGGAAAATGTGTTTAAAAAGGGAAATAAATAAATAGGAGATCATTTAATATTGTAATGAAGGGTTTGCATTTATATTTCATGTATCAAGCTTAAATGTTGTCTTTTTTTTCTGTCTATCTTAATTGTTTTATATATTTGTTTTCTTTCTTTCTAAACTCCTCAGAGCAACGCAGAGACAACCATGCACACACACAGCTAAAGACAATTTAAAGATGCTAATTATTTTAACAGTCATGTTTTCGAACTGTGGGAAGAAGATGGAGTACCCAGAGAGAGCGCATGCATGCACAGGGAGAACATGCAAATTCAATGCAGAAAGACCATGTGCAGCCCTATATGAATAAATAATAATATAAAAATCTAATTTATCATATTTTTGAGGTTTGAATAAAGAATTCACTTCAGCATTTAGCTTTAAATCACAAACCAGACATGCTTTTCATATTAATTTTTGCAAATTTCCATCTGAGCGCACATCTTCCTTCAGAACTGCAGAGTGAGCATACAGCTGCTGCCTCAGTGCAGCATCATGCATCTGCTTTTAAACCCCTTATAAAAACAGATACACACTGATGCACCTGCAGCAGCTCATCACCAATCCTCCCAGTTCATCCCATACAGTAAATTACCTACAACACGGCTCAGTGCTCTTCAAAATATAACCAGAATCTCAATTAAATAGTTTATTGATCTTAAAGTGCCAAGTTTTTTATATCAAAATCCAAAATGAAATAATCTTCTTAGTAAAACTGAGGACACACACAGACACAATTACGCATGGATGAAAGAAATAACTTTTTTTTAATGCAGAAAATAGTGAAAAAAAGTGAGATCTCTTAATTAAATTCATAATCCTTAAATCGTTCTTCATTTCGGAATATATATATATATATATACAGGTGCTGGTCATAAAATTAGAATATCATGAAAAAGTAGATTGATTTCAGTAATTCCATTTAAAAAGTGAAACTTGTATATTATATTCATACATTACATACAAACTCATATATTTCAGATGTTTATTTTGTTTAATTTTGATGATTACAAATGACAACAAATGAAAATCTCAAATTCATCATATCAGAAAATTAGAATATTGTGAAAAGGTTCAAAATTGATGGCCCCTGGTGCCACACTCTAATCAGCTAATTAACTCAAACCACCTGCAAAAGCCTTTAAATGGTCTTTCAGTCTAGTTCTATAGGCTACACAATCATGGGGAAGACTGCTGACTTGACAGTTGTCCAAAAGACGACCATCGACACCTTGCACAAGGAGGGCAAGACACAAAAGGTCATCGCTAAAGAGGCTGGCTGTTCACAGAGCTCAGTGTCCAAGCACATTAATAGAGAGGCGAAGGGAAGGAAAAGATGTGGTCGAAAAAAGTGTACAAGCAAGAGAGATAACCGCACCCTGGAGAGGATTGTGAAACAAAACCCATTCAAAAATGTGGGGGAGATTCACAAAGAGTGGACTGCAGCTGGAGTGAGTGCTTCAAGAACCACCACACACAGACGTATGAAAGACATGGGTTTCTGCTGTCGCATTCCTTGTGTCAAGCCACTCTTGAACCACAGACAGCGTCAGAAGCGTCTTGCCTGGGCTAAAGAGAAACAGGACCAAAGTCATGTTCTCTGATGAAAGTAAATTTTGCATTTCCTTTGGAAATCAAGGTCCCAGAGTCTGGAGGAAAAGAAGAGAGGCACTTCATCCACGTTGCTTGAAGTCCAGTGTAAAGTTTCCACAGTCAGTGATGGTTTGGGGTGCCATGTCATCTGCTGGTGTTGGTCCATTGTGTTTTCTGAGGTCCAGGGTCAACGCAGCCACATACCAGGAAGTTTTAGAGCACTTCATGCTTCCTGCAGGTGACCAACTTTTTGGAGATGCAGATTTCATTTTCCAACAGGACTTGGCACCTGCACACAGTGCCAAAGCTACCAGTACCTGGTTGAAGGACCATGGTATCCCTGTTCTTAATTGGCCAGCAAACTCTCCTGACCTTAACCCCATAGAAAATCTATGGGGTATTGTGAAGAAGAAGATGCAATACACCAGACCCAACAGTTCAGAAGAGCTAAAAGCCACTATTAGAGCAACCTAGGCTATCATAACACCTGAGCAGTGCCACAGACTGATCGACTCCATGCCACGCCGCATTGCTGCAGTAATACAGGCCAAAGGAGGCCCAACTAAATACTGAGTGCTGTACATGCTCATACTTTTCATTTTCATACTTTTCAGTTGGCCAACATTTCTATAAATCCTTTGTTTTTATTGGTCTTCAGTAATATTCTAATTTTCTGATATGATGAATTTCAGATTTTCATTTGTTGTCATTTGTAATCATCAAAATTAAACAAAATAAACATCTGAAATATATGAGTTTGTATGTAATGTATGAATATAATATACAAGTTTCACTTTTTAAATGGAATTACTGAAATCAATCTACTTTTTCATGATATTCTAATTTTATGACCAGCACCTGTATATATATATATATATATATATATATATATATATATATATATATATATATATATATATATATATATATATATATATATATATATATATATTTACAATGTGTTAATATAATCCTCCACATCTTGTTTATATGATCAGCTTTTCTTTTCTCACCCACTGCCTGCTGCAGTTGTCGCTTTGATGGAGTTGATCCTGAGCCTGTTGGCGATGTTCCTGAGCGCCTGCAGCGTCTGCTGGTCCGGTTTGTGGTAGTCCTCCATCTGCCCCAATTCAGTTAGAAAGAAAATCAGAGCTGGAGAGGCAGCACACACAAACTGGGGAAAGAGTTAAAAGCTTCTGCTCAAGATGATGAAATATGGAAGATGATGGGAGCGCAAAGGACGATGGCAGGGGTTAAAAGGAGGCAGAGCTGTGCAGCATGGGAGGGAGGGAGGGAGGGAGGGAATGGCTCATCTGGAAGGCTGAACTTGGCTCAGCCCACCTATGTGCACTGCACATTGACCGGTTTGCAACATAAAATAATAAAATATATTAAGTATAAATAAGGTTAAAAAAAAAAAAAAGAATCAAATGTAAAATTGTGGGCCAAGTCTGGAAAAGAGACTGGAGAATATACAAAAATAACTTATTAATGCAGAAGAAACCTTTTTCTGTATTTTTTTAATAATAAATCATGAAATCAGTATTTACAGGAGTTGATCTATAGTTGTTACTGCATACTTATTTGATCTCCGTTCAACATTCAGAAAAGTTACTCATGGCCGGCCTGATATTTTTTCTCCTCTCTCAGTTTCTCTGTACTTCTGTTGCGTTTGTGTAATTTGGTACAAATTTTCTCTAAATCCTGTCACTTTAATGTCTAAGGTTGATCACCTCGGTCAGCAGTGAGTGGAAAGGAAAACCAACGAGAGTTAAGCATTTAAAACAGGAAAATGTATCATGTTTTATGTATTTCCATCTTATTTCCGTATTAAATACTTAATGATGCATTTTTGTTCACATCATGACCCAGATTTGACCTCTGGCCCAAAAAATGGGTATGGACTCTTCAGGCATGTTTCCTGTATGCCTGATGGTCAGCACAGCCCTTACACTGGTTTACCATTCATCAGACTTCAGAGGGGTCCTGATGCCTGTCTGCAATGATCAACGGGCGAGATGGATAGGTCCACATCATGCATATCACCCCCATTATATTAATAAACTATGTGCATAATGTTTTTCAAAGAGGGTTTAAATAACAGTTAAATTGGATACATATAGTACTTTCTGAAATATGAAAAAGGCAAAAAAAAAAAATAACACACACATACATACATATAAAGATATACTGTATATACATCTTCAGATACAATTCTTCTCTGTTAACAAACGTTTAATAAATTATAACTAGGCTGGTTGTCCTTTTACGGTTCCATGACAACTACACCTTTGTCATTTACTTATTCATATTTAGTTACTTTAACAAAATTGTTTTATGTCCTACCCTACTAACATAAAAACAATGGTGTAACTAAATATGATTAAGTAAATGCCAAAAGCTGTTGCATTATTTTTTCCAGTGTATAAAGGTGTATTAAATAAAGCGAGGCTGTATGCAGACTAATATTTGTAAAAGAATGGGTTTCTCTCAGAAGCTAAGGGAATTCCACCAAATGTAATAGTATCTTGTGCAAAAACTCCAGTCTTGAGATTTTCTTGCTCCTAAATATCCCGTCCATCATCATGCGAAACCCATTTTGTTATACAGGTGCTGGTCATAAAATTAGAATATCATGAAAAAGTAGATTGATTTCAGTAATTCCATTTAAAAAGTGAAACTTGTATATTATATTCATACATTACATACAAACTCATATATTTCAGGTGTTTATTTTGTTTAATTTTGATGATTACAAATGACAACAAATGAAAATCTCAAATTCATCATATCAGAAAATTAGAATATTGTGAAAAGGTTCAAAATTGATGGCCCCTGGTGCCACACTCTAATCAGCTAATTAACTCAAACCACCTGCAAAAGCCTTTAAATGGTCTTTCAGTCTAGTTCTATAGGCTACACAATCATGGGGAAGACTGCTGACTTGACAGTTGTCCAAAAGACGACCATCGACACCTTGCACAAGGAGGGCAAGACACAAAAGGTCATCGCTAAAGAGGCTGGCTGTTCACAGAGCTCAGTGTCCAAGCACATTAATAGAGAGGCGAAGGGAAGGGAAAGATGTGGTCGAAAAAAGTGTACAAGCAAGAGAGATAACCGCACCCTGGAGAGGATTGTGAAACAAAACCCATTCAAAAATGTGGGGGAGATTCACAAAGAGTGGACTGCAGCTGGAGTGAGTGCTTCAAGAACCACCACACACAGACGTATGAAAGACAGGGGTTTCTGCTGTCGCATTCCTTGTGTCAAGCCACTCTTGAACCACAGACAGCGTCAGAAGCGTCTTGCCTGGGCTAAAGAGAAACAGGACTGGACTGCTGGTGAGTGGTCCAAAGTCATGTTCTCTGATGAAAGTAAATTTTGCATTTCCTTTGGAAATCAAGGTCCCAGAGTCTGGAGGAAAAGAAGAGAGGCACTTCATCCACGTTGCTTGAAGTCCAGTGTAAAGTTTCCACAGTCAGTGATGGTTTGGGGTGCCATGTCATCTGCTGGTGTTGGTCCATTGTGTTTTCTGAGGTCCAGGGTCAACGCAGCCACATACCAGGAAGTTTTAGAGCACTTCATGCTTCCTGCAGCTGACCAACTTTTTGGAGATGCAGATTTCATTTTCCAACAGGACTTGGCACCTGCACACAGTGCCAAAGCTACCAGTACCTGGTTGAAGGACCATGGTATCCCTGTTCTTAATTGGCCAGCAAACTCTCCTGACCTTAACCCCATAGAAAATCTATGGGGTATTGTGAAGAAGAAGATGCAATACACCAGACCCAACAGTTCAGAAGAGCTAAAAGCCACTATTAGAGCAACCTGGGCTATCATAACACCTGAGCAGTGCCACAGACTGATCGACTCCATGCCACGCCGCATTGCTGCAGTAATACAGGCCAAAGGAGGCCCAACTAAATACTGAGTGCTGTACATGCTCATACTTTTCATGTTCATACTTTTCAGTTGGCCAACATTTCTATAAATCCTTTGTTTTTATTGGTCTTCAGTAATATTCTAATTTTCTGATATGATGAATTTGAGATTTTCATTTGTTGTTATTTGTAATCATCAAAATTAAACAAAATAAACATCTGAAATATATGAGTTTGTATGTAATGTATGAATATAATATACAAGTTTCACTTTTTAAATGGAATTACTGAAATCAATCTACTTTTTCATGATATTCTAATTTTATGACCAGCACCTGTATATCTATTGTGAAGCTACTGGAAACAACAGCAACTCTAAACTGTATACGTAAAGCGACAGATCAGGGACAGAGTTTGCCAACTTTCTGCAGAGGCTGTCACTCTAAACCTTATGGGGCCTTCAGATTAGGTCAAGAACAGTTGGTAGAGAACTTCATAAGACAGATTGGTTCTGAAGTGCAATACAAAGCTCAGAAGAAGTGATGCAAAGTTAGGTGAAGGGGGGATAATGTTGTGGTGGTGTTCTCATGGATTTGGGCTTCCATACTTCTAACATAATGAGCCCAGTCTGAAGATGGCTCCTTCCTCTACCAATATGGCTGTGCATCAGTGGACAAAGCAAGACGTGAAGGAGAGTTTGTTGTGGGTGAGCTTCTCCTCCTATGTGCCTCAATGAACTTACAAATTTGCTCCTGCTCAAAGATCCCCTAAATATGCTCCTAAACCTTAAGAACAGCAGACCAGAAGAGCCAAAAGGTATAATGGTTGCAAAAAGTGGACCAAGGTAATAATAAACCCTTCAGATACAGAATAGGATGTAACTAACTACGCTGAGATCTACATAGTTCATCTATGATAGAACTAAAATGACAGAAGATCAAAGCTAATTAGAGCATAAATTATACTTAAGAATATTTACAATGGTGAATGGGGCCCCCTGGTGGTCAATATTGAGAAGTGTGTAATTTATAAAGTTCAACTGTTAACCTTTATCATTAGTTTCAGTGTGGTCCAACTGTTTTATACTACCTTTTTTTTTTATCTTTACTTGCTTTTATTATGCCTTTACTTTCCTTCTATTTTACTCAACGAAAAGCAACTAAATTTCTCTTTGTACTGAATTGTGTTATACAAATAAACTTCCCTTGTTCGTAAAAAAAAAAACAACACTGCATAAAAACAACGGTGGTGCCTTTATCATGTGCAAAAATAAAACAGATTAATAAAAATCAACAGACAATTTGGATAATCCAAATGTTACATAATTGTTCTAATCAAACAAAGAGAAGTAGCAGAAATGAACATGTAGGGGTTCAGATCTTTATTATCACAAAATATGTATGAAGTCACCTTATGCACAATGACAAACCTAAAAAAATATTCAATTTCCAATGAAGTAAAGAAGAAAAAAAAAATCATAACTCTGGCCTTTAAGATAAATAACACTCTTAAAATTTTAAATATGATACGATTTTTTTTCATATTTCAATAATTTCGTGTTAAGCAATCATAAATGAATAGCATGAGAAATGCTCTTATTTGATCAAGATTCTCATAACGGAAACATCGATTGACATGTGATTTGTTCCAGGCTGCATATCCGAAACACTGTAACTTTGAACCTCATTGAAATGAAAACAAAAAAAGAAACGGCACTGAATCGCTCAGAGAGGATGCTGCAGGAACGTGAGGAAAAGAAAGACGAGATTAATACATTCGAGTCATGATGTCACAGCCAAGACAGGTTTTACAGCACCCTCCACATTCATTGGTTAAGACAGCTAAAACAACCATTTATAAAATGTTTGCTGTTAGAGTAAGGAATTTAACAACTGCTCTTCTCTAACAGTAAGCTTTAAATCCAATTGATCCCCAGTTTATTGTGGTCTATATAATTTGTTCAGCATCCTGCCTATTATTTTTTTTTCACTTTTTAGTTTTAAACTCAGGTGGGTTTAGGAGGAAAGATCTTTTCTTGCTACTTCCTGTCTGATCAATCCAAATCTTCCTGTCTTGAAAGTTATTTTTTCTTGTATTCTTATGATTTCTAAGGAAGTTTGTATCTTTGAGTGTTTATTAATACCCCATTTATTACTAAGGAAAAGGACACTAATCAATACAAGTGTAGAGGATTATAAAAGCCTTATGGGTTTTGCAGTAACTGTTGGTCAATAACAAGAATGGCACTTGTAATTTTGTAAAAGAAGAAAAAGAATTATACATTTAGTTGTTTAAAGTTAGGCTTACGGGTGCCAATAAATGTATAGGGTGCTGTATGCAGCAGTTTATCTATTTTCCATTTATTCAAACATATTTCAGATAAAAAAAAAAAAAAGGCAAACAAAAAGAGTAAGAAAAAACAAAACCGCCTTTCACACCGTTTACAAAAATACCTTGTTTCACTGAGGGTTCTGTAAATACGGCCTACAAAAAGCTCCTGTTTGAAAGGTGTAAGGATCCTCTACATGTCTACCATGTTGTGACGAATAGAAATCCTTTCTGTATTAAAACAGATATGCAAAATAAAGTTGTTTGTGCCTTCGACATTGGATGTGCCCTTTCCTGCCTTAGCTGGCTCTGCAGGATTCAGCAGTAGATGTGCTGCAGTAGTATCTTACTGCAAGAAATAATAAAGAACCCAACTGAATTTTTTTTCCTTGAAAATTGCTGTAAACAATAAACCAAGGTTGTTTACATTTTATAATCCAAACTTTAACAGCTAGTTTAGCGAGGATAAATGAGTGAAAAAATAAGAAAACTCATTTCCTTTTTTTTTTTTTAGTATTTTGATTATTAATAGATTAATGTAAACAGGAATCCAGAATTTACACCAACCTGATTTTTTTTTTCATTTTGCACAAGATATTTAAATTCATAAAAATTTCTTCCTGTAGTACCGCCCTAAAGTATCCCACAGTGCTGGTGTGTATTGCACAAGTCCCTCCATGGAGATGAAGTACTGTGAGCTCAGCTGGTGGAGGAGACGCAACGATAAGAGTGAAAAATAAAGGATACAGGAACATTTGGAGGAAAGAATGGACGCAAATATGGGGGCTTTGTGTGATTAGAAATTTCAAATATATTCCACCTGTAACATAAAGAAATAGCTCACAGACTGATTTAGGTTTTAAGCCCCAAGTGGTTATTCATCAGAAAAGGCTTGAAAAGAAATCCTAAAATGCCACAAAAATTGAAAATAAATTAGAAAATATTTAACTAAAAATACCCAAGCTTCTGTGTCACCTTCTGGTTTACCAAATAAAAATAAACGTATTTCTTTTTAAAGGCGTGAGTGTTTTGTGTTGTTTTTCACAGGATCCCAATGATGATGGTTTAACAATAAAAGGACCTTAATCCTGCAGCTTTTTTTCCATCTCTCCAAAATTCATGAAGTATTTAGTGCCACCAAATGTTCGCCATGTTCCTTCCTGTCCACCAATTCATTGGATTTCTTCAAAAAGGCGGCCATTGGTTAAACCAGATTCAGCATATTTGGAAAGTATAGAGAAACATTCTCCCATCTGTTTTCTCACAGTTCTTTACGGACGCATTCAGGGCAATAGGAGATTCCAGTGCAGCCTTTCCCGTGATAATCCTCGGCACACAAACCAGCGGTGAGGAAAACTTGCGTGCAGAGCGTCACAAACATTTCTCCTCCATTCTGTTTTCTCCCACAGTCAGCTGCAGCCATAAAGAAGCTTTAGCTCTGAAATGCTTTCTGCTTGAAGTGGGACTACAGCTTCATGTTGCTGAAGTCCTTGGAAACGCTCTGCAGGTAGGCGACATGAATGGCACTGAGGAAGTCTGAGTCATTCTGGAGGAGGAAGTAAAAAAAAAAGTAGAATGATTGAAATTTGTAAAGAAAGTATGACGTATTTAAACAGGAACATTTTTGGTACCTCTTTGTTAAGATAAATCTAACTTTTATGCAATGATTTTCCACAATGAAAATGTTGAAAAATCCTACTTTTCATTTTTATTACTTCCCAATTCTTAAAACAAAAAAATAATGTTTTATTTTCTAACAAAATACTTTTAATAGAAAAGAGTTGCAGAAATGCTCACGTTTAGGTTCTATTGACACCAAGATGGTCCTCTGGTCTGACTGATTGGGCTGCACTACAAACAGACTTTTTTTACTTGCTTTTCCATTTGGTACGATTGGTTTTCACAATGTTCTGTTAGTAACAGAGCTCCCAATGGATAGATAGGAATAGGAAAACTGACGTGGAAGTGGAGGAAAATAATCATAGAAGCCCTGTATGTTTCATCTCTATCCACCATATTGGTTTTGTTATTGAGGCTGCAAAAATCACCGTAAGTGTAAAGAGCAGCGTTATCAGTGCAGGTTTCAGCATGTTCTATTTCAGCGCTGCATCTGAAATGCTGCAACAAGAAAGACATGTTGCCCTCCGCTTTCCTCGGCATGCTAGCAGCTGTGCTGCTAAGCAACAGGCTGTGGATTAGGTATAACTTATACGAGTATGCAATGGGCCCTGCTACGGTAGCCTGCCAAGTCCAAAACAGATGTAGGTTTTCAGCAGCTGTCAGATAGAGACCAGTTCCATTTTCACACAAGATGCAAATGGCACCAAAGTCCGTTATGAAAATGGGTTTTGGTACGACTGTTTAGTCAGAACCAGGGTTTAGTTGAGCGTATGAACACCTGCACAGATGGTTCCAAACATGGTAGATGTGCACACATCCCTGGGTCTTATCCAACTGGTTCCTGGTAACATTCAGGTAGGGTTCATGTTTGCAGAGGAATAAAAATGTATGGATTCTTGAATTAAAACACCAAGAAAAGTAAAATATCTTTTCTTTCAAAGGGTTTTAGGGACATTAATAATTGTGACAACTTGGATTTAGTTTAAAAAATATCCCAGCTGATTACATATAACCATTAAAAGGTCAGTTTTTAGAAAATTCCCAACGTGAGATCAGGCTACTGCAATAAAAGATGCATTTATTTAATTTTTTTTTACACATTATGACAAGAGATGCCAAAAAGCTTGGTTAGCACTATACAATAAACAGGCATTTATTGTAATCTCATCTGGAAACATTATTAGTTTGAAGATTAGCTCCAACCTGGATAACTGTACCTTTATGAGGTGTATCAGAGTCTCCTGCAGCTGTGTTTTACTGCAGGGGGCCTGCAGAGGGTCTGCAGCTCTTCCTGAAGCAGATGATAGATCCGGAGGAGCTGACGGGATCACTGGGACTGTGGTGGTTTTATTAACAGTCTGTTGGAAAACACTAGGCGACAGTAGCACTGAAGTTTCTGAGCCAGGAACAGCATGACCAGGGCTCATAGGAATAGCCTGAGTATTAAAGAACAGGAATATAGTGGTTTAAAAACCAAAGGTAACATAGCTTTAGTTACTGGAGACAAACTGCAACAAAGCTGAACTCACAGAGATTGGTGGGATCAGACTCGGAGGCTGAGAGAAAACATCCTTCTTGGGCTCCTGGAAGCTGTGAGGAGGAACCAGAGTGCTTGGCAGGAAGCTGGGGGCAAGGATGGGTTTGTGGATTCCTGAATTCACAGATGAAGCCGCTGCTTTCAGGGGACTAACCATGTCTTGTCCTAGAAAGGCTGCTGAAGATGCTGTGGGTGAAGTGAGGGTATTTTGATGCTCTGAAGCCATCAGAAGAGGAGAGACGGAGCAGTGAGGCTGTGGGTCGGGCATCGGAACCACAGATTTGAAGACAGGACTGGGATTAAGTGTGTAAGGGGCAGGAATTGAACCATGTCTGTGAGGCTGCTGGCTGGAGGCAGCCTCATGGGTTGAGAATTGCTGCGTGAGCAGCGGACTTTGGTGAGGAGCAGCGGGATATGATTGTTTCTGCACGTAGGTGTTTGGGAGGTCACTGGAAGAAGTGGCGTTCTGTGCAGAAGGTTCTTTAGGGAGCTGAGAACCAAAGAGCTCCTCAACAGTGATCTGCTTCACCATGGTATGAGAGCTCTGGGTGGGGAGAAGTGGAATATTAGCTAATTATTTACTTAAAAATCACAAAACAAATAAAACTTACATTTTCTCAGGTAACAAAAAAATAAATAAAAATTATATACGAGACAAAAACAGTCTTAATTGTGACTTGAAAAAGAAATGTGTGGCTTACACTGCTGCTATAAAACCCCACTAATCAGCGCATTTCAGCACAGACAGAGGTTATAATGAAACTTTTAGAATTACAACCGAATTAAACAGATACCCTGAGTTTTAGAGAGTGCAACGGCCATGGAATTAAAAGACATGTACCGCCTTACTTGCAGAAATATCACATCACTTTATAATCGGGAGATGATAGATGGCTGGATAATAAATAATCAGGACGCCACATTAGGTTATGGAGTCACATTTTATCCATAACTAATTATTAAAATTTAACACAAAATAGGATCATGCAGCAAAACTCAGCATGTTTGATTGAAACCATTTAATTGAACAAGAATTCATGTGAGATTCTTCTTCTCTTTCACTTCAAAGGCGCTATGAGTGGGTTCAAGATTTAAACCAATTTTCTCACAAAATCTTTTGCAGCCTCTCAGGCATCAGGGTCAAACCAAAAAGTTCAGAAGCTTTGATATCTGCCCTAAATTAATCAGTGTTCAAATCTTCTCATCTCTATCTGTTGTTTTATTTTCAAATCAAGATAAGATGAAACCACTAAATTGAGTAAAATTATGTAATCATTTTTTGTACCAGTTGGACTTTAGTTTTTTTTCTCTTTTTAACCCAATTCTACTCTTTATTTCAAATAATTGCATTCAATAATTAATCACGTTTTCATAAAGCTAACTCTCCAAAAATACTGCCTTTAGTTAACGTAACTATGACTGGTAAATAATATTGGTTTTGCCAAATGCAAATAAAAGGCTACCTTTTCAGCTGGATGTGTGTTGGGTCCAGGTTCTGGAGCTTTGCTAATGCTTGTTTTTACGTTGGACTCTGCAGACGCGTCTGTTTCTCCACTCTGGGCCTTCAAAACACAGAGACATGTTTAGGATTAATGGGAAAACTTGAGCTCAGGGAAAAAAAAGTGGTTTTAAAATCGATTTATGGTGAGTTTGCACCGCCAGTCCACATGCTAAACCATTTCTGCTGTCAAAAACTTAAGACCAATAAGAACATTTTCTTAAGTCAAACATTTTTAAAACAGTAGTGTTTTTGTATGGTGGTGTTAACATCTATCGTATAAATGATAATATAGCTAACATAATGAAGGCAAAGCTGGTTTCGTACATTGCCAATGATGCACTCTGTGCTAAAACCCAAAATCAAGAAGCTGCTTTTTTTAATTTTCCTCCACATCAGTCTCAAAATGCCCAACCTCTGTTCCAAATAAATGTAAGATGTAGGTCAGAGAAGTTAGGGAAAAATATGTTCTCACACCACCAGAGTTTAACTGTAGATATATAAAAAAAAAAGTTGCTCCAGATCGGTTGTAGCTATGCGGGTAAACACATTATTTAAACTTGATTTTATCCAAAGATTTCCTGAGCTTGCAATTTTTTAACAGAATCAAAAAGGTCATGATATATTTTTTATACATTTCCACAGGTCTGGCTTTAAATTTCGAGCTGGATTATATTTATTTTTTAGGACTGAATGACAGATGTCAATTAATGCATAAATGGTTGGCCAGACTGACTCATCGATGGCTGGATTAATGATCCAAGAGATGAATGGATGGTGGACTGAAGCAGCAGGACTGGGCTTAGATTCAGGGATTGATAGATGATAAACAGGTGGATTGATTAATTTTAATGTATCTGATATCAGATTCATAAAAAAAAAAATCAGACTGTTAAGACAGAAATAGGAGATCCTTTTATTTATATTTTACAGATTCCCAACCTTTTAAAGCAGTTTAGAGGTAATTTTGATGCTGTTGCCACCTACTGGTTGTCATTAGCCATTACATCTATTTTGTCTGCCTAAGCAGACCTTGATGGGTAAAAAAAAAAAAAAATCCAGGGATGTATATGCCTAAAATAATCCCAGACCTATTATTAAGTAACACTGGAACACGTTTTAGTCAGACCTATCACCTTTTTGAAAAATTATTTGTTTGTTTCAGTGAAAAGGAACACTCCGTTCAACATTTACTGTTGTAAAGATGTATGTCTTCACGAGTTTGCAATAAATATATGATCATCTTAAGACGCGTAGGAACGGTGAGATAAAGAGTTCTCCCTCACCCTCTGGTACTCCTCCTTGGCTTTACTGAGCAGCTCCAGGATGTCGATTGGTCTGGGTTCTGCCACTCCATTGGTTCTCCCTGGATCTACCCTCTCTGGACTCTGTCTCAGGGCGTGGTCCGCTTCTTGCTTCACAATCCTGGAGAACAAGATGAAGCAGGGACTGTATAGGTGCATGTCTGATCAAAATTATACTAAAACTTCATTTATAATTTTTATTAACCTTTTAATAAATTATTTATCAATTTATTCTTTAGCAGAGATTTAATTAACTGTGTGAAACATACGCAGATTTAATACATACAGTTTGATTTAATGTTAATTTATCTAGTCATGTTGAATTAAAACCCAAATTTCAGCTTCTCTGAAAATGTAATTACAACATCAGACCAATGATAAGGGTTTTTAAAAGAAAATATCTTGCTAAAAAACGCGTCCCATGACTATCTTCTATAAACTCAAAGCTTGGTTGGGGCTTGTATGAATGACTGCATGAGCTCTGCTTATGGAGTCGCAGGCTGTTTAAATGGCCAATGGACTGTCTGCATTGCTGTCGCTGCTACATATTACTTTGGTCTACCAATAGCCTTTAGGTCAGGTGTGTCTTTCCTGGCAGATGAAACACAATGACACTAGGATCACTGAATGAATGGTCTATGCATTAACATTAAACTCTGATCTAGAAATTATTGAGTAATTTCCCTGTGCATACACAAAAATATGCATGTATGGGATATAATTTAACTAGTAAATTAAGAACTGATATAATGATAAGCTATTGCTTCTTTCTACTCCCTTTCACACATCTTGAGATATGTTTATAACATCTTTTCTGTTTTATGAAATTAACTTTATTTTTTGTAAATGTTGCATATGTGTATATATACATACATGTATGTTTTCTTTCATATTATTGTTCCTGTTCCAAAAAAGAGAACAACAAAAGAAATTAAAAAAAAAAGAAATAAAGAAAGAAAATCTTGAAATGCATTACTCTGTGTTGGATACTTTTACCTAATGTGACTTTCTCCTATTTGGATACATTTTAATTAATGTTTCAACTTTTAAATGAAAAAAAAATAATAAATTTTCCTCTGTCAAACAAGCAGACAGAGGTAAATGTGTCTGATTTCTACAGAGACAAAGGGGTTTATATTCTCACTTACTTGACCATCAGCTGGGCGATGCGTTGACAGTCCTGCTTATCATAGAACCAAATACTATAGATGCCCACTGTCAAAACAAAAGGCAAAACAGTATTTAATTTTAGAGCATGTCTGCTACATTTGATACACCCAGTAAAGCTCTGCTCATAAAGAGCCTATTCAACAGAAAGAGATTATTGTTCTTCAGAGCATTTATGGAACCAATAACCTAGATGTCCATTTGTGTTTAAAGCAATGTCCACATGTTTACAGCATTTACAGGTTAAAATAATAATAATCAAAACATTGAAAAACGTCACCTTTATCCTGCTTTCACCAAACTGGTAACTGGTTAAAATAACAATGCAGCTGTGTTATTTGTGTGTGACAAAATGCTGGCGTACTCAGGGACCCTCCAAAGGCAATGTTAGCCTAGCAACCAAAGCGTTTTGCCTCCCTGCAGTCCCTCCTCCTACCGGAGGGAATATGAAGAGCTGTAAACAGGTGTGTTAAAAGTAAACGCTTCTCTCCAGCAGCACCAATTCTAATCTGAACGTACTACAGCCTGGAGCAGTTGGCTCGATAGCACCTCAAAGGGAGTGCATTTAAACTTGAATAATCATTAACATCTCTCTAAGGAATTAAACCTATCTTTGCCTTTCTACTATTTAAACTGTACTTCTCCAAACGCTTTCTCAGGAAGAAGGAGCCATCTTATACCATTTTCTTTTAAGATCACATGCCAGGAATTTATTAGAAACAACTACACCAAATGACTAAAGGACAGACCTTCATCTGGATTCGAGAACCGACCGATGGACCAAAAACAAGGAGGAATTAAAAGAGCAACCCTCACTGTCTAGTGAAGCCCCAAGAGGAGCCTCTCCAGTTGGAATACCTGCGATCTACTACATGATGTCTTCCATTCCAGCCAGACTGATGGGAAAGCAGAGTCCAAAGGGGGAGCAGTCTACTTTAACCCTCAGCCTGGCCATGCTGTTTTTTCTTATAAGCAAACAAATGGGAAAGCAATCCAACTCTTTGTTTGTCGCCTTGATGAAGCTTCTGTTTAGACTTCTAATAGATTACCTTGGTGGCAGTGCCGTCAGCTACTTTCTGAAGATCTGAGAAACTTTGCGACCTTCTATTTCACAGCTCTGACTCCAATTCAGTAAACTGAATAAATAAGCAGCTCTCTGGGTGTGTCACTCACAGCCATGAGAGTTTGGTTCTTTCCCAAATGCAGATTAACATCTGTAGCCACACTAAGCTGAAATTTCTCTGCCGAGGCCATGAGCGACAAAGTTTTCCTGCTTAATGCTCCGAGAGGACTGAAAAATGACTTCAAGCACAACGGACGAGCGTTCCTCCAACAGGCCCTGGGAAGATGCTTGTCAAGCATTTTCAGAGGTAAACCTTTAGCCCCAGTGTGATTATGCTTTAATGTAGAAATTAACTGATTAAGTCTCAAGGATGAGACCCTAAATGTATGATAACAATGAACAGAAATTTGGTATTAAGAATTACATTTATAAGTAAAATGTCAAGTATGATCTAAACACTTCTATAATTGGTGTATTTATATTTTTTTGTGTTTTTTAAAACACTCACAGTTGCCATTCCTGTAGAGCAGGAAGGGATCCTGCAGCTGGAATTCCAGATCTTTATTAATGGGCTCCACAAGGTTCTCTGTGCTCAATCGATTCATGATGGTGAAGCCATGATGAGGGGAGGCCGACCTTCAAAGTGACACAGTAGATAAAGATCACTTTTTGGGAGTAAACACAGGGATTGTCTTTAATGACCAAAAACATTTTTACAAACTTGACATTTTAAAAACCTGTTATATTCTGAACCAATTACATTTACCCTATTTGGGCCCCCCTTCCCCAAGAAAAAAATTTAACCAATGCCAGAACAATAATCCATTATTAGATGGGCTTCAATTTTAAACTGATAGTTATTGATAGAGATACCCAAAAGGCTTATGGGGGAGACCAATATGTCTCAATCAGCACATTAGCTTTGAAATTATCCAAACTTTTAAGGCGCATAACATTAATAGAGCTCAAAGCAAAAGACAGGACAGCTTAGGGCTGGGCGATATAGAAAAAAAGCTTATCGATAAAAAAAAATGCATATTGATCGATATCGATAATTATTGAAAAGATTTGAAACCATATTTTATGTGCAGCTCTGCCTGGACTTTTTATAATATTGCTAAATGATTTAATTTTAATAAAAAACACAAACACAGACTTCGAATTAAATCTTTATTTAACCAACTTTTTTAACCATAACAGAATTGTTTTAAAGAAAAATTACTTAAGAGACCTGAGTTATGTTATTAAATACTGACAAAGAATAAACTAAAGTGACCAGAAAAGTGACCAAAATGAATATAACAAATAAATAAATGGACCGCCGCCGCCGCCCCCGTTTCCTGCTTTAACCTGAGTTATTACTTTGAAGTTTCTGGCCCCTCAGCATTTTTATCTCAATTGTTAGAACTACGTGGGAAACTGCCCAGAACTGAAAATATATATATATATATTTTCCGAAGATTCCTCGGAGGAGAGCCGCACCGGGGCCTACACAGCTCGTACTCCTGTGGGTGTGAGCGGCTGAGATGATAAAAAAAAGTTGGTTTCGTTATCAGACTGGTTTTCACTGGTTCCCGACACATTTTCCAGATGACTGTGGTTTGTTTTTGGTCTGACTTGCCATGACCGAAATACTGCCAGACTGCCGAACTACAAAAACCTTTCTTTAAAACAGTTTCCTCCGCCTCTCCTTGCTGCATCTTCATGTGCTTTGTGTTGTGGTTTGAGAGGGCGGCGCTTGGTGACGGCATGCCTGGGTCCGCGATTGTGATTGGTTGGGAGGAAGCAGTGACTAGCATAAACCTACATGCTAGGCTACAATGAGAAGGAAGGAAAACTGCGTTTCTTTTTTATCGAACTTTTATCGACCCTCTTTTTTTCTATTGCGCCACACGTCTATCGATCGATATATATCGTTATTGAATTATCGCCCAGCCCTAGGACAGCTCATTATCCATTTTATTTTTTATTTTTTATCCCAATTGTTTCAAGTGAGGTCAATCTTTCCATTTAGTTCACTTTGGAATCCAGTTAGTTCTCAGAACCCTAACATTAAAGTGTTTGCTAAACATTAGTGGTGAGTGTCTTACCGTGATTTAACAGCAGTGTCATTTGTTTTCACCTCCACTCCTGGTAATAGTCTGACTTTGTTATTAAAGTGTATATAAGTGTTTGTGTATATAAGTGTATGTATATAAGTGTTTGTGGAGTGTTGGCCAATTGGTTATAGCAGTGTGCGTGTGCTCTGAGAAGGTTGGAAGTACCTGGTTCTAACCCCACAGCCTCCACTATAGGTCCCTGAGCAAGACCCTTAACCCAACACTGCTCCCTAGGCGCCACACAATGGCAGCCCACTGCTCCCCAAGGGGATGAGTCAAAATGCAGAGATAAATTTCTCCAATTTGAGATCAATAAAGTTAAATTATTATTAAAACAAAAAGGGGAATATTCATTAGGGATGCACGATATAATCGGCCCCCTATCGGTATCGGCCTGTATTGGCTTTAAAACTGAATATCGGACATCGGCCCCCCCACCGATATTTAACCCGATATTTGATCAGCTTCTGAGTTTCTAAAGTCTAAAAAAAAAAATAATAATAATTCTTCTTCTTCCTCAAAAACTTATTTTTTTACAGACTTAAAAACTTCTAAAGACGAGGGAAAAAATATTGATACATTAAAATATCACAATATCTTCATATGCTGATATATTGCCATTTAAAAACACCATATCAATCTCTTTTACTAATGAAATATTGCTATATGTCATCGTTATGCTACAAAATCCCCCGAAAATTCATGAAATTTTGCTATATTTTTATATGTTGATATATTGACGCGGTATCGATCTATTTTACTAACAAAATCTCACAAGAATTTGCAAAATATCATGAGAGTTTGTAACAGAACGATGAAATTTCACGAGATTTTGAAAGTAAAATAGATCGATACTGCATTTTTAAAAATCAATTAGATATCAGCATATGAAAATATATTTGAGTATATTATTTTTCAAAGTGTCAGAAATGGATAACAAAACTGCTATTTTCAATGACTACTTATTTTTGTCCAGCTTTAACATCGGTATCGATATCGGTTATCGGCTACATGAGTTTTAAAATATCGGCATATCGGATATCGGCCAAAATCCCAATATCGTGCATCCCTAATATTTATTTATAAATAGCGAATCTAAAAATCACACTGCATTAAGAGCTGCAAAATAACAAAAAACTGATAATATTGGAAAATGTTTTAATGATATGTTTTCTAATGATACATTATATAAAGAAAATCCTTAGTAAAACCCTGTTCATCTCTTGCTGCTACATATTAAATGCAAAGGTGGATGCCAAAAAGATAGTAGCCCGTATGGATACTGGAGAAATTTAGCTTTGTCTTTTTCATCCAAGCCACCAGGTTGTACAGAAAAAAGTTCTGATTACAGCTGTTTTGATAAATACCTTAGTTGAAATGTCTTTATTATTGTTCACCAGAACACTTTCATAATACCCTCCTTGGGCTACAATAAACAATCATTACCATAATGTGCATGAATAAAGGGGACTTGTATTACAAACACTGGTTTTGTAATGAAAGTGAATCTGGTTTATAATGTGTAAACCTTTCGTATTTATTGTTTATAAATGTGATCTTATTTTCAGTTGTGGAAAAAAAAAATTCTATTTTGTTTCTTTTTTGTGGGGTTAATAAGATATACATTTAAGAAAAAGCAGAAGCCTTAATTTCAAGTAGATATACTGTAGTATATGTTGTTTTAAAAATAGTATGCGTTTACAGTGCAAAGCTTTTTTGCAGTATTTAAAATATTCAACTGGGAGGTAGCACTGTAGCTACCGTTTAGGGAAAAAATGTGAGCTTTTAAACTCATTAAGCTAGCTTTAAAAAAAAATAGAAGCTAAAGAAGATTCTTTAATTTTCCCTTTCTTCTGTTATGTAATGCCTGAAAGTTGAAATAGAGTCCAAGATTCCAATAAACTGCATATGGAGAACTATAGGACCTCAACAACACATGTCGATATTGTTTACAAGGCGTGCGGCCTGCGCACGTGCGATAAATACGTCAAATGACAGCGACGTCACGCTGCTCAGTAAACAACCTTCGCGATTCTGCAAATCAACTAAACGCTCGTGTCTTGTGCACTTACCTGGAATAAACAAACAAAGTTCCCTCGATTTCAGTTTTCTCCTAAAAAAAGACAATAGACGTTCAGCAGCTAATCAGAAGCTACCGAGTAATAAAATACAAAAAAACAAACGAACAACGGCTAAAGTTAGCCAATGCTAACTCGGCTCAGCTAACTCCATCACAGCGATTATTTGTTTTTAATGTGAAGAAAATTAGGAGAATAAGAAACTGAATAAAACACGGCATTTGCCAGGCTAAACTTTTAAATATAATAGCATTTATTTAAGATTCTATAATAAGAATATTCGTTTTTTCGAGATAGATTAGCTATTATGCTACATAAAGATGTACCTAGCTTCGCCGATTTTTCCCAAACTTACCCATTCGTTCACTTTGGAGTTAAAGTTGTAAAGAGCTACCTGACCGGTAACGTCTAGCAGCTTGTTAATGTAAGGGTCCTGTCTCTGTAGAGCAGCTAAGCTCATCATATGTCCCGCGGTTAAAGTCTCCATCTTCGGAAGGATTTCCAGCAAACACTTGTAGCTTCCGCCGTACCCGGAAATAATGGCGCTCAAAAAAAAAAAAATAAATAAAAAAAATAAAAAAAATCCCGGAAAATCACTCACTGTGGATGGATACAGTGGCAAAAAAAAAAACATTTCAGCTTTTAAATTCACAGAAGAATTAAAAGTTTGAAGTTTCTACAGTTCATAAATGTCACACCGGAAAAAATTAAATTTTAAAACAACAGGTAGATTATGATTTTTATTTAAATCTTCAGAGTGATTAAACAAACATGCTTGTTTTCCACCTCGTTTAAAAAATATCAGGCATGTATTTGTGTAAAAAAAAACAAAAAAACAACTAGAAATGAATGGTGGTCCTCTCAGCAGATCATGTCAGAGTGCTGCTAATTCTGAGCCTTATTCTTTTTTCTTTCTTTCTTTACAGCTTTTATTGTCTTTACACTGTCACAAGTACAGAGCAACAAAATGAACTCTTCGCATTTAACCCATCCCCTTGGGGAGCAGTGGGCTGCCATTGTGCGGTGCCCAGGGTAACAGTGTGGGAGTGGGGCTCAAACTGTGGGGTAGTGGGGTCTCCTTGTTTTCTAAGATATTCTCCAAAGGCTTTCTACAACTTTCCAGTGGTGTCAAAAGTACACACATTTGTTACTTAAGTAGAAGTATAGATACTGCAGTTTAAAAACACTGGCAAAAGTTGAAGTATCAACTTGACCTCTTTACTCAAGTAAAAGTGAAAAAGTATGTGCTCCAAAAACTACCTAAAGTATAGAAGTATAAAGTAACCTTAAAAAAACAACAACAGCCAGATACCACCATATGAAATGAAAGCTCAATTTTTCAACTATTTTGAAAATATTCTTTGAGATAGGGACATGGATGAGGGAGGTCCTGTTGGTCTTCATCTACCGAAGACCTTTGTGTCCGACCTTTCAGACATTTCAACATCTTTTTCTGAATCCAACATTGTAGCATGACATGGACAATTCACATTTGCAGTTTGAAGAACACCTTCTTGCTTCTGATGATTTCCTTTACCTAACCAATGAGTGTTAGCGTTATGACTCATCCTATTACACTAGTTTTCACTAGATGTGGATGGCACCAATGATCTGCATTGGATGGCGCACATGACGTGAAATAAAAATTTATAAACACAAAACCAAAGCCATTTTAACAAGAACTTCCACTAAAAGTAGTTTACAGGCTTGTTTTTATTGATTAGTATTGATACTCCAAAATAATTCCTATATGAACTTGTCTATATGAGCTGTCATGTCTAATTAGAGATCCGATACAGATACATGCGCTGAACAAATTGGCCGATATCCTATACCATATACCTTACAATGTCAGTAAAGGCATCATGGTTTACATACACATTGTAAAAAAAAAATGAAAAGTTAACACAGATATACATGATCACTACCTGCTGTGTGTTCTCTGTACAATGATGTAATCAGCATTGCAATCATAAAACTGAATCCACAAGATCGCTGTAACTATATTGCTCTGTATCCAACATTGGATATTGGATGGAGCCCAAATCTCAGTATCGGATTGATGGATCTCTACTTGTAATCTGGTTTTATATTACCTTTATGCAAAAACATTAACGTTATATACTTAAAATCGATTCAAATTAAATAAATACAGTTAAGGATGCAAGAGAAAGTTGAACTTCCACTCAAAGCACCTTTGATTAAAAAAGAAAAAGCTAATCTTTATCATACCTCAATCTACACTATCCAGTCTTTCATAAACTAGGCCTACCTCAGAATATCGATAAATAAAATAGGACTTTCAGTGACAAAAAAAAAAAAAAAAAAAAAAAAAAAAGTATAAACCACCAAGGATTGGGTGTCATGTTACTTTGAAGCTGTTAGGCCCACTCGGTCCTGCTGAATGCCAAACTGCGCACCTGCCTCTCTGCTCTGGGGAACATTGGAGCAGGGATTATAATCGCAGGATTACGCCTCTGCGGTGAAACTGTTTTATCCTCGGTGCATGCACAGGTAATCCAATCACTGCTAACCTTCCACCAGAGCCACTGAACAATTCATTTCCTTCTACATCGCCGTCGAGTGAGAACAGAAAACGGCGCAATGAAGCCAGGGAGGAGAGCGAGGTGACAGAATGCCGTTCATTATAAAGGGAAGACCCCTGAGGGGTAAGTCTATCAATCAAGGGTTTATTTGCTAATAAAATATATTAAAGTATAATTTAAAAAAATTATCAAGATGATTAGGAAATGACCAACATTGGTAAAGTCATCCAGTGCCATCGATGCTTTTTCCCCGCTGTGTGAGGGCCAAGGACCAAACTTTATTTTTGCATAATTTTCTTTATAGGAGAACCCAGTCATACTATTTTAAAAGAATTCTAAAAGCAGGGAAACATTTCCTATTTTTTATTAAGAGACTTCTTCTGTCAGGCTTTGCACCCTCATGTGTTTTCTGCGCACACTGTGGCTCCAACTTTCCACGGGGCCCCCTTTCCCCATCAGTGGGACTAATAAACGGCAGCGGATTGACTGGCCGCTGCCAGCCAGTCAACCAGCCAGCCAGTCAGTCCTCTCGGATGCGCCGTGAGTGAGCAGCCAGGCAGCAGGCACCCGGATGTGTGGCGAAAAATGTTCGGCGCTCCTCTCAGGGTCTGCGCTCAGAAAATCTTTTATAGTTCAGGTTAGAGTCTCATACTCAGGGGGGTTCCTTCCAACGATGAGTTGGATTTGAAACGGATCTTTTCGATGTGGATTCGAGGATGCAAGAGGCGGATGAACAGTCTGAAGGTAAGAGGAGGAAAAAAAGCCGCTGCGCGCAGGAGAGTTGGAGCGCTGAGGGGGCGAGAGCGCTCGTTTGATTTCTGTCCCCATTTCCTATTAAACATTTAATATCGGAGTCGTTTTAGCCTTATGAGAGGACGTTTATAATAAGAGTCTATTTTGTAGCATATATATCAGCATTTAGGTGTAATTATTTCAGTTTTGCTCTGTTTTACAGTTGGGCTCTATTGGGAAGCGCGTTAAGGCTGCTGGAGCTCAGAAAAAACATGGTTGGCTATACTGGTTATAATGCCATCATCAAGTGGTAGTGAGGGGGGTTTGTATACATTTTGAAATAAACTAAGATATTCTTAATCAACTATTTGAGTTAGTTCTGATGTTTAAAACGAGAGTCACAACGTAGAAGTGGTTCAAACCAACAATCAAAGATTTATTTTTTTAGATCTCACATCTAAAAGTCATATTAAAGTCTAATTTTTCCGTAAAAAAAACAAAACATCCTTATTCCACAGAATTTTTTTCCTTTCTAAACTTAAAAGAGTGTCACAGCAAAGGGGTTCAAATGCCTCATAGCCAAATTTAACATTTACCTGACTATCCATAAGGGAGATCCTCAGGGTTCCTTATTGGGTTCCATATTATTTACTGTTTATATGAATAACTTTTTTTTTTTTGCATTATGAGTTTCATTGTTTCCCCACATTGAGATTATTATGTCGGTGTGGCCCTTCCAAAACAAGTGGCACAGAAAATCTGAAATCTGAGTTTGTTTTCCAGAAAGCTCTCTATGTTCAAATTATTGCACTGAATAAACTGAAGTAATGTGATTTTAACCTCCAAGAATATATAGTAGAATGTGAAATTGTTCAATGAAATTGTTCAATGAATATTTGTGACTGAATAGATATCGCTTGGATTGGATTATGAAAAAGGTTGTATTAATTTGAGTTTTTGCTCAAATGTTTCTATTCTAGTGCATACAAAAGTTTATGCATGCATAATTCTTATTTAATATGACTGTAATTCCATACATGCTTGACCATTTGTATAAGAATGTTAGTTCACATTTTGTAGATTGTAGTATCGCTAAAGCTTTGTTAACGACACCCTAAAGTGATTCGCACCCTTCTAAGTTTACAGGAATAATATTCTTTGGTCAAACAGGAAGGTTTTGCATATTATTCCACAAGCTCAAAAATGTTTTTGGTGAAAACGCCTCAAAATTATTTTCCTTAAAAACTCTGGTTATTCCACCCATTTCTCTGGAATCCTATTTTAAAGTATTTCAATGTTGGATCAGCAACTGATCGAAGTTTTTTGTTTTCAAACCTTGTTAGAAATTGATACCAGTAACAGGCAGCTATCTACAGATAACAGGCTTAACCTAACACGTTCAAAAAATTTGCACCTTTATTCATGTCTGTGATTTGTTTTTGCGTAAAATGCCATCTCTACCTGCTAAATTGGTCAGATCACCAGATGAAAGTATAAATAAAATTCATCCATAAACAGGAATTGAACAATATCACTGCATGTGATTCTGTGGTGGAGTCGACCAAACTGTCAAGGGCACTGGGTCTTTCCCCCGTTGTTTGCATTAATTTAAATAACTACCTCCCTCAGTTATGCACACTGTCCCACATGTCTTACTCTTCTATAATCTTTTTGAACAATTTATCCTCTTTTCTGCCAACTTATTTCTGGGCTGCTTCTTGGTGGATTTTGGTTACAGCGAAGGGTAGTGCAAGATAGAATGGTTACAAAATAAAAGTCACATTGCACTGTCGACAAATGGTTTTAATGACTTTAAAGTGAAATTCTTGCATTTCTCTTAAACATGAACTACTAGATAAGATAATCTCTTAAGCTGAACAAAGTGAGGGCTCTGTGTCAAGAACGTCACAGCCTCCAACATTGGTTTTGCTCTTGTCTTAGTTGTGGAAAGAATAACAGAATAATCTCTGTTATACAAATGTTTCTGGTTTAACTTTGTTCCTTTTTTATATTAACCCAGCAAAATGAGAGACTCAAAATTTTTATTGTAGATTGTGATACTAATTCAGAGACTCTCAGTGAGTTACTCCAGCAATTCCCTTTCTATTAGAACAAATTGTTTTAATTTATGATGGATTTATTTTATTATCTATTCAAAGTTTAATATACAATATTTATTCACCCTCACTGATATTTAGTGTAGTAATTATAAAGGATGTTACATTGAGACTACTTGCTTTGTGTAGCCATTCACACCCTGAAGGAAAT